TTATTTGCTCTCTTCCCCTCTCTTCTAATCTCTGATAGATCTCAATCTTATATTTTCATATTATGCGTGTTGTATCATTTGTTTGTACAAAAAAAAGAAGTTGGCAAGACTAAGAAAAAAAGTATTTTTTTGCTCAACCTTTTCTTTTAATGATACAAATATCTAATATACAACATTTTGAATAATTCAATGATCTTTCTTGAGCATTCCTTTCAATTTACATTTCATTGTCAGTTTGATATGTTTATGCCATTATGGAAGCAATCCTAAATCACAATATCACAACGAAATTTGCCATTTGCTTACTTTATTATGATGACGGTGATATCAGCAATGTGGAATAAATTCTAAATTTCAACTTTGACAGGCGTTAACATGCAGATTTCTCGTTCATCCTCTTTTTTACTTATCCATTAAGACGAGATATATGTAGTGAGAATCACTCAATTTTTTATTTCGTCTCCCGTTTCGATTACATTCTAAAACAGAATTTTAAAAAATGCTTATTTTGATTGATCTACCGAGAAAAGATGATCAAATAACGTAGCATCAAGAGATAAACGCAACTTATGACTTATCCAGTAGCGGATGAAAAAGTTGAAACAAATGTTACACAAATATTTATATTGCTTGATATCCTTGCAAAAAAAATACTTAATCATTTTGGCTGGTCATATTTCACTTCGCATTTCAGATCAGTTTTCTACTTTGATCATTGCATCATGTGCATTGACATGTGAAGGCATCATTGATATTGTAATGAGGAATTGATCATAAAGCTTCAAAAATACGGTTAAATTCAGAGCATCAAAGCTTTTACAAAACTAAAAGATGTTTGACAAACTTAAAAAGTTGATCCACAAAAAAGTTTTGCAAATCTTTCTTTGCAAATCAAACAGTCTCTCAAGAAGGACTATTTTCCTTATTTTGACCGTAAAATCCCTTTGGCTGCAAATGAATTCATAAGTCTACCAAACATCGTGGAGAGAAAATACCTTGTCTTAATCCCTTAACATTATAAAAAATCATTGAAATCATTTAACATTCTGTCTTATTACATTTTTATTTGATATGATCTTCCTTCTTGCTGCAAATTCTTTTTTTTTTTTTTTTTCACTAGGACGATTTCAAATAAAATATTTGAAACATTACTTTGAAATGCTGATATAGTAATGAAATAATAAATTTCAACTTTTTTTTAACAGAAAAAGTGGTAAATTTCAAAATAATCTTAGTACAATATTGAATAATAGTTATTAATTTTAGCATTAGAATTTTAAAATCATTCAGCTAATATTATTTTCAGTTAATTTTGGCAATGAATTTGTAAATCTTTAAATTATAAAAATATTTTGAACATATTAACAATTTTGTTGATTTTAAGTCGATGTGATCATTCTTCTTCTGACAGACAGTTTTAATAATTATGATTGTAAAATATTCAAAAAAATGTTGGATGGTAATTAAATGATTAATTTCATTCTTTTTAAACCATGTAAATATTAAATTCTCTGTTTTTTTTACTGGAGAGAAATATATTCGCTAAATTTTGGCAGCAGTTATGCATGGAAGCCTAAAGAAATAGCAATGCTTGGTAATACTGGACTGATAGGGTAGATTTTTGGTCCTAAAAGCAAAGGTAACTAATTATCAAAGGTAATTAGTTTACAACAAAGAGTGGTGTTTTGAATTTATGAAATGCACCTTTTGGCTTTTCAAAACCAAAATTATTCAACTACTTAAAAGTTTATAAAGATAAATCTTTCTTGTAATTTGCCGACTATGAATTTTCTTTTTTATAATTATACAAAATCAAATCATTGTAACATGTCGTGCACCTCACTACTATACAATTCACATACGAACTCTCCGATCGCTGATTCATTTCTCCACTGTCATAGTATCCTAGAACGGTGTTGGATCGTAATAAGTGCTTTGTTATGAATAATTAAATTATTTCTGATCACTGATTAACTGATGATAACATGTGATTTGTCCGGTATAAATCAAATCATCTGTTACCAGTGATTAACAGTTTATGTATAAGCTATTAATCTGTTTGTTGTTACTTTGTTCATGAACAGAAGTAATTACACTTTCTGTTCATGAATTTCAAATTATTATGTTAAGAATAGTCACGTCTTTATTAATTCAACAGCGAAAAATCAGTATGACAAGAAAGGCGACACTTCGTAACGCAATTCGTTTCACCTCTGAAGCACTGATTGGTTGTTTGGTGTTTGGTCTGATGAATTGAACTTTTCTGTTGATCAAAAACTGCTACAGTTATCGAATTGTTGAGTACACTTCATAGATAACAGTAGATTCACTGCTGCAACAAAATCACGAAACTGTAATCATAATTCGAAAAGTACTTTGAATCTTGTTCGCATCTCATGTTATCAACGGTCGAGCAAATCCGATGCTTATCAATTTCTCAAGAACTTACAAGCTTTGCGATCACTGCTTATACGACTTTATATTTTAATTAGACATTCAATTCGCTTCATGTTGCAAGTATTTCGTTATCCGATAAAATAATCTGAATCATCTTACAATGAGTTCAACTTTAGTGTCTTAACTTTTCAAATTCTCCGTATGTGTTACTTGATCATTTGAAGGAAACTTTAGATGTGATTGTTAGTTACCGTGAAACAATGCATTTAAGAATTTATATGGTATAAAGTTATTGTTATGGATACAGTAATAAAATATTTACCTGAATCATTTTCGTCTCAACTTGAGCAAACTTAACTATTTCAGTTTCATTTTCGTCTCACTCCAGCTTATTTGTTTGAATCAGATAAAGTAAGACGCAACTGATATCCAATTAACAAGTTTTGAACTTTGGAATGAAATTTAGAAGAAATGTGGCAATCAGTTTGATTTAATCACAAAAGATTTAATTTCTCCTCCATTTACCATGAAAGATTGATAATCTAGAAATAACTATTACAATTATTCGCATTATCTAATGAACCACTGATTCTGAATTGCTTATTCCATTTGCCTGTCATTATGAACTGAATTCATTTTCATTCCATTAAGAATTTCTAAACGAAAATTTCATTAGATCCATATTATCATCCTCGTTCTTAAATAATCATTTATGATGGTAAATGGTTCAATAACAATTAATCCACGTAATATTAATGTAGCTAATCAATTAATTGTCTGTTTTTGAAGAATTCATCTATTGGCTTTCAATACAATGTTAAGTTTGAAAAACTTTAGTAGTATAATTCGACATCAAATGAATTTCAGTTTTATTTAAACAGCGTAAACTGCCGTTAGTTAAATTTATTTCATAGATGCTGAACTGATTTAAATTGTCTCATCAGGTGAAAATTCAAATTTATTTCATAATCAAATTAGTTTAATCTACCAAAGTATAATCTTTTAGTATTTAATGTACTGATTAAAAACATGTTCTATTATTTGTTAAAAATTACCGTTGCCAAGCCAATCATTTGCCAGCCATTAATGATAGCAATTAATTTCATACCGAATTAATTATCTGTTAGCTAATGAGAACAGATGAATCGTTCAATACCAAATAAATCATTCGTATATCAATGATAACAATCGATAACGCAAGATAAGTCATTTGCTAGTTAATGATAACTACAAATAACTTGATAACGGGTAATTTTCGTAATGTCGAACAAATCATCCGTTAGTCAATGATAACAACAAACACACTGATATTACAATCAATTGTCAACTACAGTTCTATTAAATTTTAAATTAACAAATCAAATAAGCCAGAGTTATGTTAATCGCTGTAACACTGTGAATAATAATTGGACCAGATTTACATGGATGGAATTTGAAATTTGTTGTTTCTTATTATTTTCATACCAACAAAAATCCGCTAAAATTTGAAACAGAAACGGTTCCTGATTGCTAATGGCTGAAATTTGATAAATCTTCCGAAATGTTTTTAACTCTAATTCATTATCCAATTCTTATAATATGTATTATTATTAGCCAGTATTTGGCGAGATTCTTATAAGTTCGTTGGAATTTCAATGATATAGCATTCATTTTTTAACTCCATTACGTTTATTATTTTTAATATTATAAAGTAACACTTCGTTTAAATTCCATGGAAGTTTTACATTTGTACAAAACCTGAACTTATGCCTTATAATTAAATTAATCTGAATTGTAGCCATCTCGTTCTTAATCATTCAGCAATTTATGCATGATTCTATGCTGATCAATGGCACATTATTTACCTATGCGAGTTATTTATTTCATTAACTGATAAATTCATAGAAATAAATTTTATAAATAGTTTAGCAAAGATTGATATGTTCAATATTTCCTTGCAAATAAAAGCATTTATTTTTATCAAATTTTATGATATCAATTATTAAAACAAAATTATACAATGTTGAGCATTTTGTTGACTGTTACAAGAAATCAAAATAAAATCAATAAGAGAGGGAAAAAAAACAATTTTATACATTTCGAGATCAATTGATTTATCTCAATAACAATAAACAACAACGATAACAATATCACAGTAGCTACTTACAATAACAAAAAATCAAACTTGCAATAATGAAATGAAGTATTTTATTAAAATGAGGTTCAATTTCATCTAGAATATTTTTTATGTGAAATATTTTACATCAAAGTAAAATAACTTTACATTAAATTAAACTAAATTAACTTTCTATAACGTAGAATTTTTTTATTACAACAATAAGAAATGATTAATTAACCGTAGAATTAAAAGATCGTTGCAGCGCGTGCTATAATAAATAAAGAAATAATTGAAGAGTTACATTTTGTTAACAAATATTAATAATTTTTTCAATGATCACTTCTTTTTGTTGTGTTAAAATTTAAAAATACTTTGATTAAAATAAAATTTCTAAATTTGATGATTTAATTCATATATTATTTATAGTTTAAGTGAAGATTTTAAATAAATGAGGCAAATTTGTACACATATTACAAAGCTATCAAAAAAAAAATTAATTATAAAATTAGGTATTTGTAATGTCTTTTCCAGAAATGAAACCGGAATCATGTCCATCACTGCTAATTTCTTTCTTAGACAAATTACTACCATCAGTGATCGGAAAATTATTTGACTGATCAAATTGATCTGTTATGTTATGCGCTTCATTGACATTATTGTCGGTTGCAGTAATTTGAATTTGTATAACATCTGCTAAGTTTTCTGATTCCGGAAGTATTTCAGAGGAAGCGACTGCTACACTCCCGTTACCGTCATCCGGTAATTCAGAGAATATTTTTGACTGGGTCAATATTGATAGCTTTCTCTCATCATTATTCTCGGATTCCTCAATAAGTTTATCCGTGCTATGTGAGATTGAAATTTGATTTTGTTTATCAATAGCTACTGATCGTGCTACACGCCAATGAGTGTTAATGAACCAGTTTGAATCATTTTCCAATATTTTTGACGTTTCCGTAACAACGTCTATTAATTTTGCGTATACTGAATTATATTCAGTAATTCGTAAATCATTTTTAGTATCAGAATTGATTAAATTAGAAATTAATGCGGCAGTACTGTCGGGAATAATATATTGTAATGAGCAGCTTAATGGTGGTACAACGAATAAAGGTAACGTATATTTGAATCGAACTGATATTACTGATGAATGCCTGAATTGATCAAAAATAAAACTAAATGGTTTAAATTTAAAACAATATTTGAATAGATTCATAGATTTTTCATTCTTTGATGAGATTAATTAACAATCGTTTTTTTTTTTCTTTTAAGTTAAGTCCTAACAGCTTTTTTATCCATAATTTCAAAAAATCTCATCAATATAACCATGAATCAAAATTTATGATGTTATTAAGAATTTGTTAGTCAAATTTAGTGATGTTAACAATGATGATATTATAATTATGATAATTTAACTTACTAAAATAATCGGTCAATTCCACTTATGTGAAAAATTCTAAAGAAATTCTTTTACTGATATAACTAATTTGAAAAGAAAAAAAAAGTCATTCATAGGTAGCTTACAGTAATGCTTGATCAATTTGCTTGTCGAATAAACCATCAAGTGGTTCTGGATCTTTCCGTTCAATGCGATATTCGTGTTGTATCTTACATCGATAATGGTAATATGCTCCCTCAGAATTGATAATAATCACTTTATCAGCATTCAAAATTGACACAGTGATATAATCCAGAAGGTTGCGCTCAATTTCAGTTATATCCCAAACATCCAACTGGAAATTCATTTTTGCTACTTTTTAAAATAATAATTCAAATATCTTATTGTTAAATTGATTTAATTAGACTTATGAATAAGTTATATATTTTATCAAACGTGGATTTACGTTTAAAAAAATATTGTCAATAAATTTAAAAAATACACGACTCACATGGACATCGAAATTAAATACGTTGCGCAAATATTCCGCAAAGAATAAAACACATTTATCATGTAATAAACTATCATGCGAATAAATTAGTAAAATATTAAGTCGTGCTAAAAACAAATTATTAAATTAATGCTTTTTTTTTGAAGAGTTTATTTGAGGTTTCTAGAAATTTCATAATTAAACGAATATATATATATTTTTTTAATTTCCAAGAAATCTTAATTGTTCAATAAAATACATAATAGATATCCAAGAGAGGAAAAAGAAAAGTTTTGAAGTTTAAAAGGAAATCAAACCAATACGAATTAAAGGTGTATGAATATTGGATGATATTGGCAGGGTTGTTGAATGTGGTCGATCTGTTACAAATCGTAGTCGTATTGCTTTACTAGCTAATCGACGGCGAACGTGATATAAGTATAAAACATAAAGTAGAAAAAATATCATCAAACTTATAATCAAAAGCATTGATACCAATATTATTGTCCTGTAATGAAATTAAATTTAAAAGTTTAGAAACAAAAAAATATCAAAAATAAACTTTAATTCAACACCAAAATTTTTACGCATAACGACAAACGACTGTGCAAATACTAAATTGCGTCAAGAAAATCGCACCCAAGAAATGAATATACTTTGCTAAGTATCATTTCAATTTGTTATGACGAAGTGATCTGCGGAATAAATTAAAAGTTTGAAATAATTTTCCAGATTAAAGTAAAGTGAAAGAGATAAGATATCTAATTAGATGACTCATATTGAAATTAAAATTTCCATGGAATTCATTAACACAACAAGGAATGTCTATTAATCAAAAAGAATTTAATTTCAAATAGATAACTTCATCAAGAAGGTAATTTAAATGAAATAATTGGAAAAGAAGTTAATATCACTAGTTTGCATAAGGAAATTAATGATGAACAGTATATAATTTTGTGATATTACTCTTAACCAGAAAGTAATTTGGTAATATGAAATAAAAGTTACAAATTTATTTTTTACATTTTAGTTGTGAAAAAGATTTCAATATTTACCATATATATCCGGAAGCACTCTGTTTAGCACGAAAAATTAAAGTAGCATTTTGTTCCAATCCTGGTACAATAATCAATGGTTTTTTCACTCCTGAAATTACGATTAAAACTTTCCGTAGATTTCAAAAGCCTTTTCTTATATGAAATTTTGCAATTTAATTGTAAGAAAATGAGAAAATTTAATTCAAAAATTCGTGTTTAAATTTAATTAAACAAAATTCCTTTTTTTTTTTCTTAACAGATTAAAATTCTAATATTATAGAAAGATGAAAATTCATTCACATTTGGAACATTTAAAAAGTAATCCAATCAACAATAGTTTTCCTTTCATTAATTTCAATAATATCATAAATTAGGCTTACTTTGAATTCGAACTTTATGCCAATCGGCAGCAATACAGGAGCATACCATTCGATTATCAAACGGACTAGTGCTTAATACCGGACAAAGACAACGACCATCACGAGAACGCTCGATCGGTATAACAGATGGCATGAAATATTGATCAACCTGAAGAAGGTAACATTTTATTTTACTTATTTATTAGTTTCATTTTTTGTAAACAAATGAAAAGTACAGCGCAAACGGTTTCTTATCCAGTACATTCCAGTAAAAACGGTTTTCTGTGCCAAAAAGAAGTAGGATGAGTGGATATATATATGTGTGTATGGGTGTGTGCAGTAATCGATTTGATTTCAAAAGTTAAAATGACAAAATTTGTGATAAAAATTTTTACTTAATATTATAATATTAGCGTAAATGCTATAGTGGAAGAGAATTTACTGACATGACAAGTGGCTTTCAAAAAAAAAAAAAAAATAAAAAATTTTCAAAATTTGTATCAGTTGAAAGAAAAAATTTTTAATTATTTATTTACCAAAAGAAAAAGAAATATTGATGCTTAATTTAATTATCTAAAATACAAAAAATTCTTTTTTTTTTCTTTTTTTAAATGGTACCTCTAAATCGGTAAAATTATACTGGCCAAAAAGGATAGTTTGATTACCAAAGTATTCCATATACATCAATTCAACTGGTACCACTGCACTATGAAGTAACTCTAGGCCACTTTCATCCTTCAATCGTACTTCATAACCTTCGAAACAGTAATGAGGTGGTGCGCCAACAAATTCAACTTGAATTGTCCGTGCTAATGGATGCACTAAAATACGTCGAAATCCGCCAGTCCATCGTGATGCTTGCAAATTTGCTAAACGAAATTTATTATTAATTTTAAAAATTCACAGATGTAAATATCAAAAGAAAAAAATCCATTAAAAGTGTGAAAAGTAATGATTTTTTTTTTGTCGAAAAAATGTTTTTCATTTAAACACTTACTCGCATCAACTTGTGTAATTCTTATTTGATTAAAATTTGAAAAAATTGAGTGCTAGATTAAGGTGGAACAAATTGAGTATATGATTAAACTTTCAAAATAAAAAAAATAAAAAAATAAAAAAAATAAATAAATAAATTACATGTTCGTTTACAATCGTGTTCAGTTATTGTATCATTGTAATAATCTGAAAAAGAAAAAAAAAACAACTAAAATTAAAATTATATAAAATGTCATTAGATAAATTTCTAAAGTTTAATCGTAAATTTCATTTCTAAATCTGAACATAAAGATTTCTTATTCATCCACCTCAAATTTTTCCAAGATAAATTTCTAAAAAAGAAAAAAAAATTATCTCTAATTTTGATTACTGAATTATTTTATTAAATTGATTTTGTTAATTATAATTTCTTTAAAACCCTCATACCTAATTTCAGTATTTCTTCTCGAAATATTGCTTCATTGCTATCGGATTTTCTTCTTTTTTTTTACACCAGTTGAATGCTCAGAAAATTTCTTTAAAAAAATAAAAGAAAAACACAAACGAATAAATAAACAAATGAATATTTACCGGGATGATGAGGCATCAGAACATGCTTTCGAAGAATTCTTGTATGATCTTTTCTCTTCGATAAACTTATCAATTTAATATCATAAGTTTCGTCAAATTCAAATAAACTTTCGGAAGCAAAATGAAATCGAGGCTAAAAATAAATTAATAACTGTTACTTATTTAAGAGTTTGCAACACTCAACTAATGCTAATATATTTCAAACTAATTCTTGAACCTTCAGCTGTTTTCTTTCATTGAAGAATTCAATATTTGAAATTCGAGTGGCATTACTTCTTGCAAAAAAAAAAGTCTCAAAACTGAATTTCAAAATTTCAACTGCATCTAAATCTTGTTTTTCAAAAATTTGAAATGTAAAGCATTTTTGAGGAAACAATTTCGAAGTTAACTTTTTAAGTCGGAAATTAAAAATGAATTAAAAAAGATAATTAAATTTAGTCTCGAAAAATTTTAAAAATGAAATATCAAGAATTTTGAAGGAAAAACAATCTCAAAGTTAATTTTTAAATTAAACATTTTTTTTGGAAAAAAAAAATAATAATTAGGCAAAGTTGCCTTCTTTTTTTTCAAAAAAAAAAAGAGAGAAAGTATTTAATCTGCTTCAAATGAACAAAAAAAGATGAAAAGGAAAAAATATATAAATATAAATAAGAATAAAATGAAACAAACCACGTTAGCAATTAAATTACTGTTCCAATTAGAATTTGGAATATCAAAATAAAAGCATGACCGATTTGATGAGGCATCCTTAATTTCCAATATAAATCCTAATAGCAATGATGTAAAATCTGCAAATATTTTATGATAGGAAGAGACAGAGAGAAAGAGAAAGATAGAGGGAGAAAAAGAGAAAAATTGTTAATTAGAAATTGAATTTTTTTTAGGAAGCTAAAATTTGTATTCTTTTTTCGAACTTGAAAATATGATGAATTTATATCATAATTTGTGATTTATTCCCCAGATATCATCAACTTGTTATTAACTTTTTTCTCGCTACTTTATTTAACACCATGAATACAAAAAACAAACAAGAATTTTTCAATTCTGTAAATATAAATACTGATTATTCTTCCCTTAGAAAGAGAGAAAAAGAAAAAAATTTGTTAATTAGAAATTGAATTCCTTTTTTTTTTTTTTTTTTTAGCAAGGACTAAAATTTGCGTTCTTTTCTCGAATTTGAGCTGACAATTTAGGATTGGTAAACAACTATCTACTATTTTCTAAATTTTAAATTTAATGCCTTCTATTGTTTTGAATAAGGATATTAATTTGAATGTGATATATCATCGTTATTAACTTGCAACAATTTTGGATATTTGAAATAATTGGCTAAAATTGTATGATATCGTTCATTAATTTGTTTAAATAACTGGTTAAAAATACCACAAAAGAATAATGAAAATATCAGTAAGAGATGGAATTGATCAAACTATTTCGACAATTTTAAGTGGTATGGTCGACAATTAGTGATAATTATCACTAATTAACAACCATATTTATTATTATTATTGATCATAATTAATTTGTTGTCATAAGTAAATTTATGCTGAAAGTGATAAACGAACTATTTGGTGGTAATTGCCATGAGATATCAACAGATAATTGATAAGTTTGCTGAGCATAACGGGTAACAACACGGGCAAATGGTTCCACTCGAATGTCATGCGCATATGTTATCGTTGTATTGGTTACCCTGCTAATATTATCGTTGTTTTCGTTGATTGTTATATTTCTATCATCGCATTTTACTAAAATAATTAATAATATAATTATTGATATTTGTTACTTAATTAATTATTTTATTTAGAAATAGATATTTATAGCGGTAATATAATGATAATATGATTTATTTATTAGATTGAATACTGATAATTCGAATTGCTTAAACTCAGGTAAGCAATAAATGTGTCAACATTATTGCTGATTGTTTTCAAAAACGTTATACTACTATGTTTCGATACTAACCGACTTGTTATCATACTAACATATTACGATAATATATGATCAAATGGGAGCCAATCACATATATCATTTATGAATTCCGATTAATTCATACATTATCTTTCATGAATTTCTTTTCGCTAAATAACAATGCAATATTAGCATTTTTCTATTTATCATAAACGAAAAAAGATATATCATTTCTCATGAGAATACAATGTATGCATTTCCGGAATTTTTAATAAATATGTTTAGAAAAAGATTATCATACCTGAACGGACAGTGCATGTGAAATCCTGAAAATATTTTTCGCATTATCTAAATTATTCCTAAGTTTTCAAACAGGAAAAATAAAACTCGATCAATCTCAGTTAGTTTAAATCGAGATTATTTGTTAATGTCCCTTTTTTTTTTTTGAAATTAATCAGTTCATTCTTTCTTTTATCTTATCATTTTAAATTTGAATTTGAAATGGATGATAATTAATTGATTACCTTATGATTGTAATCAGCACAATTGTCATGAAATAATGGATTAAAATCAATGTTCACTGATTTAACAAGAACAATAATAGCAATTACACAGCTGATCACATCAATACAATATGCCATTCGATTGATTCACTGATTGTTCTGATTTTTTTTTTCTTTTTTTCGTTATTTTAAACAGTTAATTAATAGTGACAATAATATTTCCAGCCGATAATGATAGCAAATTGTAATGATAACAGTAATGATAGTAATTAGTGGTTTTAATGATAATTGTTCCGAGAGAGAAAAAAAAAGAGCTAACAGCAGATGAATGCAACGAAAATAATGAGTTACACTCAACTAAAATGTGAAAAAAAAAGGTTTTTTTTTTTTTGATAAAATAGTTGAAGTGGGAGAATGTTTGATGTTAAAAATGTCCTTTTTTTTTTTTTTCGTTTCTCGTAATTTTACTGCCATATTATTCAGCAATTCTTTGTCTAGTTTTAGTGTATTAATTATTACTATTTATTATTATTAACATTATTACTTATTATTATTATCGTTACTAGATGACTGTGGTAATAATATTTAATAATAATGATAGTAGTGGCAATAACAATTATAAGTAATAACGAACACGATAAAAAGAAAAATCAATTTATATCATTTTATTTAAGTATACATATATAGGTGCATGTGTGTGCTTATGTTTACATTGCACACTCATATTATGGTATAATATTTTATTAAATATGTTATAATAGATATGAATATGTGTACATCTATGCACTTTATGTATTTAATATATATTTGAAATAATTGATTGGAGAATGAGAAGAAAAAAAAAATGAAAAAATTGAAAATACAATGGACACCAAATTATTTAAGCATTAATTTTTATATTTTAAAAAAGAATAAGATAAAATGAGAGGGAAAAGAGAGGAAAGAAAAAAAAAAGAAATAAAAGAAGTAGTAAAAATTGTTATGAAGAAAGTGAAAGAGAGATGTTGAACATATAACAAATTCAAATTTGAGAAAGAGATGAAAATTAACAGAAAAGAGAAATTGGAAAAAAAAAATGGGAAAGGAAAAAAAAAAGAAAGTTTGAAGGAATTGTAATCAATTATAAGTAGGTTTAAGGCTTATATGAATTGATTATTTACTTGAAAAGATGTGCTGAAATTACACATCAAAATGACCTTTGAAAAAAAAAGGATGGGAGAGAGAGAGAGAGAGAGAGATGAAACAGAGAAGAAAATAGGGAGAGAGAATTAAAATGATTAAAAGATGAAAGGAAGGGAAAAGAGAAATAAAAATGAACTTTTCATAAAAAATTTTGGGAAACGAGAAGACATAAACATAGAGAGACGGAGGGAGAGTAACAGAAGAAAAAAAAATGAAAAAATGATGAATCGATTGTTTTTTTCCCTTTTATTTTCGCATTCATTGCAAAAAAAAAAGAAAAAAGAAAAAGGAAAAAACAAAAACAGAAAAACGAATCATTTTTATGGATACGATAAAATGTTTAAAATTTTGTGAAGTATATATTTTAATCAAATTAATACACCTACATATATGTGCTTAAATATAAATATTGAAATAATAAACTTCAAAAATTATATTCAGACAAACCAATTCAACAAATTAAAAAAAAAAAGAGAGAGAGAGAGAGGGAGAAAAAAGAAATTTGGTTTCGAAATTTTGTTAACGACAAATAAAACGCCTCTTTTTCAAATACGAAAAGTAAACAGAAGCGACAAGCCAGTAGGGTAACACCAATATGAAAAATGCATCCAAGCATATTTTGTGAATATTTGTTTAATTATATCAATGTTTGAAAAGTTTCCATGGTTTGCATATTACTCATCAAATAATCAGCTTTTTTTTTCAAAAAAAAAAAAAAAGTTAAGTCACAAATGGGACAAAATGCTAGAAAATCTTCCTCTCTCTCTCTCTCTCTTTTCTTTTTTTTTTCGAGTGATAGATGTTAATTGTATCGTTATTAATAATGAAATATTTTAATTATGTTTTCAATTTTCTTTTTCCTTTTTTTTCCATTCACAGATAGATACATGTTTGTTTATTTGTTTGTTTGTTCTAAATTCTTCAATTTAAATTGTAATATTGTAGAAATTTTACGAAGGAAAAAGTTAATTTGAAACATTGATACAAAAGGAATGAAAATCATTATTGTTTATCTTAATAATATAAATTCTAAAAATTATATCTTTCAACAGTTTTTTACTTAATATTTGAAATATTCAAATTGTTGAATTTATCATGATGAAAAAGCACAATTAACTGAAATGATAAAAGATGAAAAAAGAAAAAGAAATAATGTTGGAAAGGAGCTAAGAGAATGAAATGATCAAAAAGAACGAATAACATTGATATCAGAAAACTTCCACAATTTATAGATAAATGAAATGATTGCAATGATAGAAGTTTTTTTTTAAAAAAAAAAAAAATGAAAAAAAATGGTTAAAAGTAAATGGATTGATGATAATTTAATTCATTTTCAATGATTTGTTCAAAGCAAAAATGAAATTTTTTTTTAAAAAAAAAAAAGAAAATTTGACAATTTCTTTCTTTTCTTTATAAATAGTATTTTTAAAAAAAAAAGAAAACGAAGTATACACAGGTTTTGTAAACTTTTCAAGTGATTTCATTTTTTTTTTTTTGTTTTTTTTTGTTTCACCCTATAGACACAAGGCAAAAAAAAAGTTGAAACACTTTTAGAAATTTTTAAAAAAATAAAAAATATCAGAAAATTTTTTACTGGTTAACATTTTAACTCTTTTTTTTTTTTTTCACAAATGATGAAAAATTGAAGTGTTTTTAAGTATTCTCTGTAAATTATTAAAATACCGGAAAAAATTTTCATTTCTTCGTTCCGAAATATCTTGAAATGAGCATAAGTTGGATGGCTTATATAATTGTAAATACCATGGCAACCGAATTATAATAAACATTTTCAATCAATTTATTCGTTAACATTTTACATCGTATCATATCATTGTTCCAATACGAATCATTCGTTTCTTTCATTTTTTAATTCTTTAAAATGATTTATGTTATTAATCCTTGCTTAAGAAACAGAAAAAAAAGGGTTTAAAGTTTATTAGTGCATAATGATTGTTGAAATAATAATTTTTTTTCCCCTTTTGAAAAATTAAACCTTCTATAACTAAAATTTTCAAAATAATCAATTTAAGAAAAAAGGTAGAAATTGATGCTTTTTAATTTTTCTTAGCTAATATATGCTATTTATAGGTATTACTTTAATTATGACATGGATGAAGTATAATGAAGAGTATAATGTCAAATATTTTAATTATGAATTATTTAAAAGAAATGTATAAAAAAGTATTTTAGTGAAAATTTTTTAAATTAGTTAGAAAAAATAAAAAAAAAACAATTTCTATTATTTTCCTGCTTTCTTATAATATTTCTGAGAAAAAATGTTTCCAAATTAAAATTATACTGAAAACGAAAAATAAAAAAATAAGTGAAAAAAAGTTGAAATATAATGATAATTAATACTTACTATCCATAATTCATTTGATTCATTTCATTTTAATCATTGACTAAAATACCAAATAATTTATTTTGAAAAATGAAAAAGCAAAAATAAGAATGCAATAAAATAAAAGCTTATACAATTGTAAATGAATTTTATAACAGAAATTTCAACGAAAATTTTAAAAAATAGCACAATTTTTTTAATGCATAATTTATGAATTAAAAAAATTAAATTGAAAAAAAAAAAAACGATTGAACAAAATGTATCATGCAAATAATTTTACATTTTTTTTGCAAATTTTTGCAATCAATCTTTGATGTCTTCTTTAATTTCACTTCCAGCTACTTTTTCTTTCTTTCTTTTTTTTTTTTTTTTATTACTAAACAAATTGACATTTCTCACTTTCTTCTTTTTTATTTTTTGACATTAATATTCGTTGTATCGTTTTGAAGAAATGAAATTTTGTATGAACAGCTTATTTTACTATATTATCAATAAAAATGAAAAAAAAAATATATATATATGAAATATTTTATACAAACATTTATAGTAACTATACAAAAAAAAAAAAAAATGTAAAATTCTAATAGCTTTCAAAATTTTAAATTCACAATAATTATAAATAAATATATATATATATATAATTGCACGCGATATAACAGTATAGCTGTAAAAATTAATAAAACTACTAATTTCAAATTAGCTTTTGTTTTTTTTTCCTTTCTTTAGAAAAAATGAAATATTCAAAAGATGATTTCAAATTAATTGTTTATTTAAAAGAAACAAAAAAAAAAAAAAAACAGAAAACGACAAGTAGTGAATTGATATGACACGAATGTTGACATAAATTTTGTTAAGTTCAATGCTTTTTTTTAAGTAATAAATTTAGCAGAAATTTTTTTTTCTAAATAAACAAATTTTTACCAATTTTCTGTCTTTCGTTCTTTTTTTTTTTTTTTTTTTTTTTTGGCAATTGTAAAATAAAAGTTTGTATTTAGAATGATGTCGTAGAAACATATAAATTTTAATAACTAAGATAGCGAATTATGGATTACGAACGTAATGATCCTCGACGTCATTATATTTTACGTGTTGCATCGCATATTTTTGCGCTAAATTTATCGGAAAATAAAATTCCAAATTTGATTCCAATACAAAATTTTTGTGATACCAATACACCATTGTTAATTATTGCCAAAGATGAACAGGTTTGCAAACTTTTTATTTTCAACCTTTATTTTTGAAAATTTTTCATCAAGTCGTTTTCGGTTTCAATTTAAAAAAAAAAAAAAAGAAATGGAAAAACGAAATTTATATACTGAAGGTTCTAATATAAGTGATTATTACATTTCACGATTTATTTGTATTAATATTAGTTATTAATTAAACAAATTTTTAATTCAAAAAAAAAAAAAATTCAAATTTCAAGGAGAGATTTCAAATTTCAGAAAGGAGCATTTGATATTACGAATGAAATGCGAAATATTCATGATCCGAATTTACTCAGAGTGATCTTTTATAAACTTGAAGCAATTGCATTACCATTGGATAATTTTAAGAGCAAAATATCAGTATTATCATTACGTGGGCGTCCAACGGATGCATTAATTCGTTCAGTGAGAGAAGTTGGTAATTTAAATAGATATTTTATAATAATTATTTCAAATTTTAATTAACAATTTTTTCCAGTTAAAAATTCAGTAATGATGTTAACAATGAACTATTGCTATTTTTATAAAAAAAATAAAATATCCATAATGATAAATAAAACTTAAGATATTCAAACAAGCAACTGAAAATGATTTCGAAACATCTGCAAATAGCCATTTACATACAATTTTAAATGAACTTGAAATGATTATGGAACCGAAGAATGACAAAAGTAGGTTATATTTTTGAAAAGAAAAAAAAATGTTTGAATAATAGTTGAAATTTAAAAAAATATAATTTACTTATATATGTGTTAGGATGAAAAAAAAAAGGTTTTTTTTTTCTTTTTTAATCATTTTTACTATTTAGAGATTACTTTATTTATTCATTTATTTATTTAGTTGTTTTTTAAAAATTTTTTTCTGAATTTTAATTATAATTTAGAAAACATTCATGTAAGACGATCGATACATGATGAAATTAATTATTGGAAAAATCGAAAGGACAATGCTGCATTGCAATATTTCCAAGTATTTCAAATTCTTGAAGTGAAACTTGAAATGCTTACAAGTTGTCGTATAGATGAAATTTATGAAGTTATTGATACTATTGAAGATTGTTTAAATCAACTTTGGAACTGTGAACCATCATTTCCACAAAATCATATGAGACAAATTATCGATAGTATCGGTAAACTGATCGTTCTTTTTTTTAATTTTTTGTAAATGTTAATTTTACAGCAATTTTATATCATTTTTACCGAAAACACGATCATTTCAAAATGATCAACAAATAATAAATTATTTAATAAAATAATGACAATGAATTATCTCATATCGTACAATAATCATTTTAGTTTGCAATTTGATTAGACTTTTATTAAATTAATGTTTACTTTTGGTCACTTTTTAATAAAATATAATTTATTCATTAAATTATATATAATGCCAATTATATATATTAATGTATGTTGTGAATAGATAAAATAAGTTTATGAGTGTCAAAAATGTTGATATTATTACTAGTGTCGTTTGCTGGGTACAAATCCTTATCATATCAATATCAGAGCTTCGTTTAGTGATAAGTTTGTTACACTGCCCATACATACTAACTCTAATGAAATGCTAACTTTGTGTTAGTCATTTTCATAACTATTAGTTAAATATAACTTATTTATTCAATGTAATTTTATTTATTTTGCATAATAATTATAATATAAATATTTAAAGTTATAATATAAAATTTCATTAATTTATGCGTAATAATTTCTTTCAGGTACACTAATTATTAATTCGATAACAAATAAAATTGAAATTAATAATATATGGAACGATGATACAGTAATCGATATTTTACATCAAATTATTTCCATTTGCGAACAATGGCAATTTGTAATTACAACACTTATTGAACAGTGGAAGCAAGATACTGATAATCCATGGAATGGTGATAAATCAATAATTTCAATTTTTGAAATTATTCAAAAACATACTGATAAAGTATGTGTATATATCATTACTTATTGAGATGATATTACAAATAATTTCTTTGCGCCACAAGCTTTTTCATATTTTAAAACATTTCAATATTACAAGTTCGATGAAAATATACTACTAATATTGATGAAATAACAGTGGTAACAATTTTGATAAAAAACAATAATGATAAAAGTATAATAATAATAAGTGAATATGCAAAAATATAATAATAAATAATAATGAATAAGTATAATAATAAACAAATGATTCATTTAATCTTATAATAATTTTGTTTTTTTTTTTTTTTTTTTTTTAAAAATGATAAATAATATTTTAAGTTATTAAGAAATTTTCTAACTGTGTTCACATAAAGTATATAAAAATAATTAGTTTTTACAGATTTTATCATTGAAATTATTAAGCAATCAAATGACTGAATTAATAAAAGATAAAAATGGGCAAAAAGAAATGGAACAAATTATTCGAAATATTTTTGGTACAATGCCCATATTTACCTGTGATATTTCTGTTCAGCAAAATTGGAAAAACAAATTATTGGTGAAATAATTGCATTTATTATTACTCTTATTTTAGTTTCATTAGAAATTATTTTAATTTAAGATTTAGGATGAAGTAAATAATTCATAACAACAAGATTTAAATTTATTTTTTTGCTATTTGAAAATTTTTGAAACAAAGAAAATGTCAACAATACAAATTTTTGGAAATGGAATCACTTACTCATACTGTTTGTAATATTTGAATGTTTAAACAATCTAATTTTAAACATCAAATTTTTGATTTATTTTTATTCTAGTAAGTTTTTAATTAACTTCAAATTTTACAGCTTTTTTTTAAAAGAAGGAAAAGTTTTGTTACATTTGTTTTACAATCGCTAATTTAATTAATTGGGTTTATGAAGTAATTACAAAAACACCAAATTGCTAATTTTGCAAAAATTAATTTTTGCACTAATTTAGGAAGTAGAACGATGCATTGAACCAATTGTGGAAAGAGCATTACCTGTTTTAAGGAAATGTTTACAAATTAATCAACTCACTGATGATGCTGTAAGTTTTCGAAAAAAAAAAAAACAAAAACTTTTTCCTTCAATTTTTCTATCGATTAGTTAAATCTGGCTTTTCTTTTGAAATTAAAATTTTGATTAATTGTAAAGAATTAAAATAACAGCAAAGTATATTATATCCTAAATGTAAAAGATTGCAAAACTAATAACTGATAAAACTAATAGGAAAGTGTTAATAAATTTATGCAAATAATTTAACAGCAAATTCACTGATGAAACATTTAATTGCACTACAATTACTAATCACAATGACATAAAAGATTTTATTTACCAATAATATTTATATTTCATTTTATGCTTTATATATCCTAATTTTAAATTTTCAGGCAATTACTAATCTGATTAAATTTAAACATTTTTTAAATCGTCCAAGTATCAAGGAAAAACTTTTGATGGAAAGGTAAATAATACTTCAATTTCATTCTTTTTTTTTAATTAACATTTTATGGATAATTTAAAATATATTTTTTTCATTTTTTTTTTTAAAAAAAGAAAATTTGTAGACTATTTTTAAATTCAGAGAAACATTGCTTAGTCGTTTGGCAAATGCGGTGGAGATGAAAAAACGTGAAGTAATTGAACGAATTGCAACCAGTGATATACCAATTGGACAATATCTTACAGAAATTGCTGCTAAACTTATTTGGATTCGACGAGAAATTAATAAGGTAATTTTATAAGTTAAAACTTTTGTTAAGTTTTTTTTTCTCTCCTTTAATTTAAAGCTTAAAAACAAAAATTTGATAGAGTAATGGTTAAAAAAAAAAAAAAAAATCTGATAAATAGTCTATTTTATGACATGGATGATAGCACAATAATGATTTTTGATGCTGTTATTGCAATGAAATTTTTGAAAAATTTTTATTTTTTGATTTTATTTATTTTTTTAAATTTTTCGAAAATAATAAATAGTGATAGGTTAACTTTGAAAGCAATAAAGTAATAATCTATTGTAAAAATTAGCTTAAATTTATTATTAATTATATATTTTAAGATTGAAAATATCAAGATTGTATGCGACCAATTGTTAAACGATTTAGCAACTTATAAAACAATTCAAATAAAAATTCAAAATGCAATTGATGAAATGCATTCGTTAGAATCGGATTGCTTTAGTAGTTGGTAAGTAAGCAAAATAAATTTAAAATTGAAAAAAAAAAAAAACGAATGAATGAAATAATTTAAAGAAAAAAAAAAAACTATCATATTGTGGAGTTTTTAAAATGTTAAGTATTATCAAATATATACAAAATATTTTTTAACATGTTTCTGAATTTTAAAATTTAGTTCAGTTTTTCGTTTTAAGTTCAAAATATAATTGAAAAGTTTTAGGTGCCAAGAAATGATCAAATTAGTTTGTAATTCGACAAATTCAATTGCACTTGAAACAAGTGGTAAACTAATGAGTATTGAGCGGAGAGGTGGTAATTTGATTGTCAACTATAGCGATCGTTTAGTTCGCCTTCTCAGAGAAGTACGTCAATTAATTGGTCTTGGATTTATTTTACCGCAAAAAATTATTGAATGTGCTAATACTGGCGAACAATTCTACAAATATGCTATCATTCTTAAACAGGTTATTACATTTGTTTGTTTGTTTTCTTTTTTTAAAAAAAATCGAAATTTAAAAAGTTTTTTTTATGAAGTTTGATAGGAATATTTTATTTGTAGTAGATGAAAGTAACTATGTCTAGGTTTTGATAGCTATTGAGAATTTTAAGAAAACTAGAAAATAGACATTAGCTAAATTTATATAATCACTGAATTGATAAATTAATCAATGATTGGAATAGAATGGAATAATTTTGAGTTTTTATAATAATTTATAATTTTGTTTAATTCTGACTATTATCTTGCAATCTTATTTGTCCTATTTGATTTACATTATTTTTATTTTCACTTTTAATAGACTAAATTAAAATTGCACATTTGAAGGTGGCACATTTCTATAATTCGGTGGATCAGCAGATGCTTCCGTGTCAACAAGCAATGATGTTAGACGAAGCTTTAGCATTTGAAAAATTAATCCTATCCGGAAAGAAAGGTGAAGAAGCAACAACAAATACGGTTAGCTGGAATAATCCGAAACATCTTCAAGAATTCATTGAAAAGTTACAGGCAGCTGCTGAACGTTTAACTTTACATAATAGGTAAACTTATATGGTACATTGTAACTCATTCTTTTCCCCTTTACTTTTTGATATTTTTTCCATTTTTTTTTTTTTTATCTTTGATAACTACCATAATTTTATTAATTGATAAATATGAACAAAAAATATTATTCAAAATCAACGTTATCATTAATGCAAAATTTGCAAAGTAATGCAAAATTTTTATTTTATAACTTTATAACAAAATTCAATATTATGTTTAAATATTAAAAATGCAAACATTAAATGGATACTTTTAATTATGATAAAAAATTTAACTTAATATTAAATTAGAATAAAAAATATGATAAAAAAGAATAAATGTAAAATTTTCTTTTTTTCATTTATAATTTAATCAATCATCAACATTTTTTCATTATTTTTACGACGATTACGAAAAGCGCATAGCGAAATTTGTGACAAGATAAAACAACTATTGAATTTGGATCTTCTAAAAGAAATCGATAAATGGAAAGATGTTATGGGTGAGATACGAAGTAAAATAGCAGAGCAAGAACGAAGTATCAGTAATCGTAGTAATATGATATCATGGTTATCACATTGGGATCGTCAACTTTATAAGGTTAATAAAGAATTTTTTTTTTTGTTACTTATAAGAATTTCTTTTTATAATTTTTTGAATTTCTTTCAAAAAAAAAAAACATCATCTTAAAATTTTAAAATTGTTTGTTTTTTTTATTTTTTTACAGACATTACAATTGCAATATCAATGGGGTATCGAAAGTCTTCATAAGCAAATTCCGTTAATTCAAGTTCAACTTGTGTTTAAGTAAAGTTTATGAATAAATTTTGTAACATTATTTTTTTCTATCTTCTTTTTTTTTTTTTTTTAAATAAATTTTTAATAGATTAAAGTAATGTTTACATTGTATGTGAAAATTTGGCATTTCATTTTAATTTCAATTAATATATTTATAGAGATCAGCAACTTGAATTACGACCACCATTAGAAGAAATTCGTGCGAAATATTATCGCGAATTGCGAAAATTTATTAGTATTCCACAGAAATTTCGTGGTGTTCAAGAAAGTGAACAAGTAAACAAAAGAGCATTTTTAAATATTTACTAGCTAAAATCATATATCATCAAACGCATGCATTTTAATCTTTTTTTAAAAATTTAATGATTAATATATCAAAATGAAAAAAAAAAGTGTATATTCTTAGTTTGTTTATAAATTTTGAAAATTTGCTTGTTAAATTTTCATGATAAATAATTTCAACTTATTCAATCTCATCATTTATTATTATGTAGTAAGTTTCATTAGATATTTAGGCTAATGAATTGTTTGCAAAAATGATCGAATATAACGCAAATCGATTTTGGAGTGTTTATGAAAAAGCAGAACAACTATTCGAGAAGCTTGTTAATGTGGGAAATGAATTTGAGGTAAAAATTTACTGATAATTTTTTTCCATTCCTTTTTTTTTTTCGGAAATGATAAACAGTGATATAGATTTGTATGATTGATTTTCAAGAAACAATCAATTTTTGAAGCAAAAATTTTGATTTAAAATAGAGTTAGATGTTAAATAAAAGATAAAAATTGAATAAAATAATAATTTAAGTGGCAAATTTTGAAATTTGTTGATTTTTAACAAAAATTTATAGAACTGGGTTGTGCTAGGCCAAGTTGATTTGGAAAGCTTAATTACAAAACATTTTAAACAAGCCGAAGACTGGGAAAATCAAATCAAATTACTGAAGGTGAAAGGAAGAGATGCTGAAAAACTGCCAAGGTGAAACATTAATAATTTAAAATTGGCCAATTAATTTTGGTCTTTAAAGGTTTAATATTTTTTTCGACCATTCTGTATTAATAGCTTTTTTTTTTTTTGCTATCTACGAAAGTCTTTTAAAGAAGCGACAGAATATAAATAAATTAATTTTTTTAATTAAATTAATTTTTTATAAATTAAATTAATAAATTAAATTAATTTTTTATGAGTATTAGGAATAATAACACAATAATTTTAATCTCTTTTTTTTTTTTTTAAAGCTAAAATCTCAAAATAAAAAAAATATATATAATAATAAAACAACAATTAAATTTCTTTTTCCTCTGCACTTGTCATCACTATTTGATTTTTTTTTTCTCTTTCCATTTCACAAAAATTAAATGACAAAATTCCTTAATTTATCAACTTGATAATTTTTTTTTTTTATTAACTCTAAGCCATTAATTAAAATTTCATCCTAAATTGTGGACGAATTCATCACAAACAATATTAATAATAAATATGACATTTAAAAAATTTGCGAAATATTACAGTGAAGTAAAATTGGAATGTATTATTGTTTCAACATCAGCCGTTAAAATTGCTGTCGATGATATGCTACAACGTCTCTTCGACACGTTAATATGGACGTTAAGATATTCCATTAATAATGAAATTCACGTAATATTTTTTGTAATTATTTTAATTAGTTAGTGAATTAACTTAATTTAATGAAAAAATTGTTGAAACAATGCAAATTTTTTAAAATTTAATTACAATTAATTGCAGTGGGATTTTGTTTTTTGTTTTTTTTTTAAGAATACAGATCGCATTTATGTATTTTGTTGATTGCTTTTTTTCTTTGATTTTCTTCCAGGATATCAATCGTTTCTTAAATCAAGCAATTGAAGTACTCAGTTCAAGACCACAATCAGTTGCTGAAATTGCAAATGCAAATCAGAAGCATATCGAATTTGGAAATTTTAATAAAGAGGTCTTCTTAAACTAATTCTATTATAATTACATCATGATGCATATCACATTTGATATTTTTTTATTTTACAATAAAAAAAAAAATTTTTTTTTTTAGCTGAAGAAGATGCTTGATTCAATTGAGGAAAAAAATGTTTTATTACGATCAGTTGGCGGAAGTGGTGCTGAACAATTACCAATTGTTTTAAAATTATGGGAGAAATTTGAGCTAATGTTAGATAGCCATCAGTTAATGATTAAAGAACAGGTTTATTATTAAAATCAAATTTAAGTATAAACTTTATTTGTTACATTTTCATCTATCAAAATACTTTCTTCATATTTTTTATTATTGTAAAAAAAAAAAAAATTAAACATTAGCATCGTCTTTTTGTTAGCATATTAGGCAGAGAAATGTAGACCAAATTGCATTTTGAAAATTTCAGTGAATGTTTATAGTTATCCAATCCATAAAATTTTATTTGATTAAAAATAGAAGAAAATTTTTTGAAAAATATTTATTTAAAGTAATAACATTTGCTTTTACTAAAACAATAATCGTACTAATTTGAAAAATCAAATAGTTTGTTTTTGATTAATTAATTGATAATTTAAACCAACGTTTATGAATTAAAAAAGAAAGACTTACTAACTTTATGACGGACTAATCAAATAGCTTATTATAATTTTGTTAGCTTGATTAAATCAATTAAGCATTGTTTAATTCCTTCTATTTATTAGGTGGAGACACTGAAATCAAATGTTAAAACACGTCTGAAATCACTAAATGATGAAATTGAAAAATTATTTGCTCGCTGGAATCAATTCAAACCAAAAAATGAGCTTTTTGATGATGACAGAAATGCCTTAATTGGTGCAATACAATTTATCAAAGAAAAACGTGATGAATTCGATGAGTTACAACGAAAACGCGATGCCTTATTGTATGATAAAATTAAATTACAAATATTTTCACGTAAATTTTTGAATAGATAAGAAAAGTTACGAATTTAAAAATGTTAGAGTATGATAATGATAAAATTTATGAATGAAAAAATGCATAAATGTAAATTATTATTTAAGTATTTGCATTCTTGAATCATAAATATGTTGAAAATTTTTCAGATCACATTTTGATATTTATTCAATCTAAATAATTGAGAGATAATGTGTGAAAAAAAATTTTTTTATCAATGAGTTTTGATTATTAAAATATCCTATGTTGTTGTTGATGATATTCAGAGCAGAATGTGAACAATTTGATATCAACAAATCAGAAATGCCACTTTTTGATGAAATGGAGATTGATCTTAAAAATTGTGAAGGTAATTGGTTACTGTATGAACAATTTAATGTTGGCTTACAAGAAATGGCTAATGAAGAATGGATTCTGTTCAGGTAAATGTAATTGTTACTTATCACTATTAGATTATTACTAATCAGTCAGTATTAATTGAAGTGTTAATTTTTTAATTCGAAGTTTTGTTCAAATCTTGCTTTTAAGAGATGATAATTGATCGATCATAGGATTATTCTACATGATAATACGATTATAATTAAATGATTATTTGTGTAAAATAGATAGTATCATAAAGAATATATTTGAAATATTTTTGGATATTTTCTAATCTTTTTTGACAATCACTAAAGGATTTTAGCAATTTTTTACTAATTTTTAACAATTTTTTTTTCTTTTTTTTGCAGATCAAAAACTTATCGTTTTGATGAATATTTGCATGAATGGGATGATAAGTTAAAAAGTTTACCAGCTGCACATATTACTGTTCGTTTACGTAAGGACATTGATCAATTAAAGGTAAAAAATGCTGAATATTTGCCAAATTTCTTAAATTTATGTCAAATAATAATCTTTTGCCTGAAACATCATTTATTATTATTAAGGAATTAAAACCCTATTGAAAATTAAAAAAAAAAAAACTTAATTCTCTATTTTAAACTAGAGAAATCTCTTCTTTTTTCGTTTAATTTCTTTTTTCTAGTTATCAATCAGAAAATATTTTTGTATAAATTTTTTCACCTACTTTTTAATATTGCTTTAAAAAAAAAGAACTCATTTTCCTTGTTTTTATAAGCATTGTGAAAGCATATTATCAGTAAGATGGATAATAACTTCACTTTTTCATCTAATGATAGAGCAAAAATTTTGCTACTTTGATGAAATTTCTAAATTTTGATAAGGTTATTAAAATTAAAAAGCAGGAAAGAATGATTTTATTTATAATTTGATGAAATAAGCTATTTATAGTATATCTTATTTTGTTAAATTAGGAAATGAGTGCTGGTTTGAAATATTGTCGTGGTGAAATCTTAAGCAGTGATCATTGGCTAATGTTATTTCGAATATTGGGCATGCCGAAAGATACAACATTGGAACATTTGCGCTTTGGTGATTTATTGAATGTTCATAAAATGATTATCGAAAATTTGGAAGCATTAAAAAATTTAAATGAACGTGCTCAAGGTGAAGTTACAATTCGTGAAGCTATTCAAGAGCTTGAACTTTGGGCTGAACAGGTTTTCTCATTTATTTTTAATTATTCTTTTCAAATTATTAACTTCATCAATTGCTTTTTTTAATCCACTTTAAACTTTTTTTATTTGACAAAAAAATATCTTTCATTGTTTATCAGTAATTTATTCATCATATTTTTCAAAAAAAAAAAAAATGAATAAAATTTAAAATTTAGGCAGAATTTGTTCTAATTGACTACAAACATTCCAATGGAACAGTTGTGAAAATAATCAAAGATTGGAAAGATGCATTAAATTCGGTATTTTGTGTTCTTGCAATATAATATTGAAATTTTGTTAATCAATTTTTGATCAAAATAGAAGTAAAATACAAATGTATCGATCTTTATACTTGCATTTTATATCATATTCATCGTTTTTCATCAAATTTTTTGTGCATTTTTATTTATTATTTGGCAAAATTATTGAAATTTATAGATTTATTAAATTTTCTGAAATTAATTCAATAAATTTTCATTAAAATTAAGGTGAAAGATAGTGAAGCATTACTGCAATCGTTAAAAAATTCTTCCTATTATGCTCAATTTACTGATAAAACATCAATATGGGAAACACGGTATATCATTTATCATATTTATTATAATATTACGTTTTTAATTGCATATTTATATATTTCATTCAAATAGCAATAAAATTATATATTTTAAATTTACGCAAATATTTATTTACTTTATTTATTTTTTTTTTTTTTAATTTAGATTAGCCGAAACTGAACAATATATACAATGGATGAATGAAATACAGCGTAAATGGATTTATTTGGAGCCAATTTTTGGACGTGGATCACTTCCATCTGAAGCATCACGCTTCAATCGAGTTGATATTGAATTTCGTACCGTCTTAAATGGTTACTTATTTATTTTTTTAAATTATTTATTATATAAATATTTAAAATTATCGTATAGTTAAAGAAATTACAAAGATTTCTCATCATTTTTTTTTTTTTATTTTTTCATCATTTTCATTTATTTTTAATTGATGAAAACTTTACCGCTTTTTAGTTTTATTGTAAAAATCAAAAATTTCAAATTTGACCAAATAGCTAAAAATTTCTAGGGGAAAGTAAAGAAAGTAAAATGATAAAATTATTGAATTTTAAGTATAAAATTGGATTTCAATAAGGTTTTAAAATAATACAACAAAACTTAATTTGTAGATGTGGTTGAGGATTCACGTATCGTTAGTTTGAGTACACGAACTTCTTTGAAGCGTACATTGGAACAAATCATTGATCAACTTAATCGCTGTCAGAAAGCCTTAAATCAATTTCTTGAAGTTTGTACACTACTAAAAAAAAAAAAGACATTTAAACATATTATATTTCACCTTCTAATATTTCCAGTATTATTAATATTATCATGAAATTAATATAATATTAGTGACCACTTCGAGAAAAAATATTTTTTGAGTATTTTTTTTAAGGAAAAACGAAATGCTTTTCCAAGATTTTATTTCTTGGGTGATGACGATCTGTTGGAAATGTTAGGTCAACTGATGAATGAAACAGTAATTCAAACACATCTCAAAAAACTTTTCCAGGTATGCTCCATTTAAAGTAATTGAATTGATGTAATAATCATTTAAACCTAAAATTGAACGTTTAATCATAGATAAAAATAAAGCATGTGAAAAATCTAAACACGATATGCTAATGTTAATTAATAATTAGCTTAATTCACTTTGAGTTTTAATAGCACTTAAAAAGATTTTTTACATTTTTTAATGAATATTTTCTTTAATCATCTAGAAGCATGAATTTAATTCCGGAAATCTGAAATGTTTAATAGGGAATTCATAAAGTTAAATTTGGTGATAATGGTGAAACGATAATTGCAATGGTTTCCGGTGATGGTGAAACTGTTCAGCTGTCAAAACCAGTCAGAATTATTCCTGAAGCGGAAGTAAATTTTTTTTTTTCAAACCTACAAATGAAAGGAAAAAGTGTAGAAATTTAAGCAATTTATGAATGTATTTTAATATAGTTTTTAATCAAGTTTAACTTCATGACGAATGTTTCAGAAATGGTTGCAAGAACTTTCGAATGAAATGAAAAATACAATCCGAAAATTGATCATAAATTGTGTTACTGAAACATCACCTGATCCAGGCAAATATCCATCACAGGTTTTTCTTTTTTATTTTTTTACTGGTTGCATGAAAATTTTTATTGTTTAGCTTGGTAGTTCGAAAAACAATTTTTCAGGTTCTATGTTTATCGGAACAAATTCGTTTCTGTGAAGCATGTGAACGAATTTTGAATGGTGGAGGTGATTTGCAAAATTATCAGAAACAATTAAAACAGACATTAGCAAATTATATTAATTCAAAAACATCAGATCATGTTTTAAAACTTAAATTAAAAGCACTTATAATGGATGTAATTCATAATATAAGTATTGTCGATGAACTAATCAACAATTCACCTTGGTAAGAAACTTATTTTCCTAAATTTCACTTTTTTTTTTTTTTTTTTTTGTTCAGTAAATGGGTATTTATCTAATTATCAATTTACCAATTGTGGTAGTTATGATTTGTTAATGGGAAAACAATCGAATTCAATAAGAAATTCTATTTTAGAATTTATAAATAATAAAAATTTAAATTTTTGTTTATTTTCAAAACAAATTGCTTCTATTTAAATTATGTAAATTATTTAATCTATGCTTAAGTAAATATTGCATGATTACTGCTAGAAAAATTTTTTGCATTATTCATAAAATAAAACTATTCAATTGTTACTGATGAAAACAAAAATAAATTTTAGCACTAAATCATCATGGATTTGGCAAAAACAACTACGATATTATCTGGAATCAAAGGATCATGTGATAATACGACATATTAATACACGATTTGATTACACTTACGAATATCAGGTTTATTATCTGAACAAAAATATTTATTAATTCAATTTAACTCAGAATCATTTTTTTTATTTTTGAATAGTAAAATTATTAATAACATAATTTAGGGTAATGCACCAAAGCTAGTTCATACACCGCTCACTGATAAATGCTATCTAACTCTTACACAAGGTATGTATTATTTAAAACTTTTATTTTTTATTTCTATTTATTCCTAAAATAATTATTATTCAATTTAAAATTACAATGGGATATTTGATTCATTTAATTATGATTTTTTTTTTTTTTTGCATATTGTTCTTTTTTTAAATTTTCAACAAAAGATTAATGATTTAGCAATGTCAATGGGTCTTGGTGGTAATCCATATGGTCCTGCAGGTACCGGAAAAACTGAATCTGTCAAAGTATGTGTATATATGTTGTAAAATTGTTCGCAATATCATACTACTTCAGTACAATGATTAATGTAAATGAAATAAATAAAAGTAGATAAAATTAGTGCTACTATCGCTTTAACTTACTTTAATTAATCGTAGGACAAAAATTTAAGGCACTAGCAAATTTATTTGGACGACAAGTTTTGGTATTTAACTGCGATGAAGGAATTGATGTCTATTCAATGAGTCGTATTTTCATTGGTTTGATACAGTGTGGCGCTTGGGGTTGTTTTGATGAGTTTAATCGTTTAGATCAGGTCGTTTTTCTTCTGTTAATCAAAGTTGTTGTAAGTTTGAAAATTAAAAAATTAAACATTTAACATGAAATTTCAGACAGTGCTTTCGGCTGTATCAATGCAAATTCAGGTTATTCAAGATGCAATAAAATTACGATCAGGAAAATGTATGCTGGCTGGTCGAAATGTGAGCACTTTGTTGCATTTTTAAAACCTAGGATCATACGGGGAAAAAACTCGTTAGCTGTTATTATTAATATTGAATAAAATTTCAGGTCCCTGTAGATTTAAATTCAGCAATATTCATAACATTGAATCCGGTAAGCAAAGGATATGGTGGACGACAGAAATTACCGGACAATCTTAAACAATTATTTCGTCCAATTATTATGTCTGTACCGGACAACGAACTTATCGGTTTGTTATCATTTTCCTAGCAAACTATAAGAAATTCATTTTGTTGTAAAAAAAATAGTCAAAATTAAAAATTATTTTTATGAAATAATTTGAGAGGAAATTCTACTCAATACTTACTATGAATATATGATTTTTTTTTTTTTATTTTAGCAGAAACACTTTTGAGTGCGGAAGGTTTTTGCGATGCAAAGAAGTTATCACGAAAACTGGTATCAATCTTCAACCTTAGCAAGTTAGCTTGTTTTTTTTTTTTTTTAATTCACTAACTTGCTAGAACTTTATAGATCATTTGATTAATTTGGTAAGTAACTCAATTAATAGATGATTTGAAATGAAATTTCGACTATTATCATCGTAGATTTTCTATAGAAAAAAAAAAAAAAAACTGGGCACAAATTAATATTAGAGCGATAATTTTAGGAAAATGTAAAAACAGTTCTATTTAAAAGTTTTTTCATTTTGAATTATGTGATATTTAGGCTAATTTAAATAAAATAATACCATTTTTAAGGGAAATGTTAAGTTCGCAGCAGCATTATGATTGGGGTCTAAGGGCACTAAAAACAGTATTGCGCAGCTGTGGTAATTTATTAGCTAAGAGAACGGATAAAAATGAAGTTCAAGTGGTTGTTGATGTATCATTTTTCATTTTTTTTTTCCAGACTTTTATAAATTTCACCTTTAATAAATTTCTTTTTCATTCATAATAACAATTATAAAAATGTTAGTTTTTTTAATCGTTGTCTTTTTTTTTTCCTTCTAATTTCAAAATATATATTTAAGATTAGGAAATTTTACAGGCATTGACATTGAATACATTATCAAAACTCACCTTTGAAGATTCTAAACGTTTTAGCGTTCTGATCGATGATGTCTTTTCAAATATTAAGAAAGACACCGTACAGGTTTTCTTTTTCAATGAATTTTAGCATAAGGTATGTGAAAATAAAAAAATTTATATATTCAAAAAATAATTTCAGATTGACGATTTGCTAGAACCAATTAAATTAGTTGCTGGTGAATTGAAGATAACGGTTACTGATATGCAGGTAATTTTATTTTTATTACTAATTAACATTACTAGGACTATTTTATATGGTTTAGTTTTTCAAAATATAACTTATAAAATTTTCAAAATATAAAATTATAAGTTCAAAATATAACAAAATATAACTCATATTGTTATTGGCTCTCTGTTAGATATGATCATGCATTGGTATTCTCTGTTATATGATAATTTATAGGCTGAATTTCTATTTTGCTATGTTAATTGGTGATGATAACAAGATACTTATCATTTAGATAAAAAAAATCTTTGAATTATACGATCAAATGCGACAACGAATGGGCGTAATATTGTTGGGTCCGAGTGGTTCAGGCAAATCAACCATATGGAAAATACTTCAAAAAGCTATGTCACTAATAAATAAGCCAGTAAAAACTTATCGTATCAATCCAAAATCAATGACAAAACAAAAAGTAAGTTAATGGGGACGAAAAAAAAAATTGAAAAAAAAATAAATTAAAAAAATGAATTATTCATTTCTATAAATGCAATAAATCATATTATAAAGTAATAGAGAGAACTATTTAAAATTATTAACAATGGATGAGAATTGAAAAAGCTATTTTGTTCATTGCAATATCGTTGATAAATTTTAATTCAGCTTTTGGGATACATGGATATGGATACACGTGAATGGTCTGATGGTGTGTTAACAACAGCTGCTCGAGAAGTTATTAAAGATAGTAATGTATTAGCATGGATTATTTGCGACGGTGATATTGATCCAGAATGGATTGAAGCACTTAATTCGGTGCTTGATGATAATCGCTTGGTAAATTTTCTTTTTTTTTTTTTCTTTTTTGAACATTCATATTTCATTTGCACATCTCTTATTTTTCTAATAGATTGGTAAAATGCTGAGATAGAAAAAATGGGATGTAAAATATTACATCAAAAATTCAATGACTAAATTAAATTTTTGAGTTTACAGCTTACAATGCCATCTGGTGAAAGAATTCAGTTTGGATCTAATGTTAATTTCATTTTTGAAACCGATAGTCTTAGTAATGCATCACCGGCAACAATATCACGAATGGGTGTGATACTTGTTAGGTTCAATTTTTATTATTAGTCATTTTTTGATGTTACAATTGTGCTAATCTACATTGGTAAACAATTTAATTAAATATGCTAATCTCTTCTTTTTCCATAATTTTTTGACAATTTTAATGCAAATTATAATTTAATTTGCTTTTACAGCAAGGAAGATATGAGTGTTGAAGATTTTATTAGTAATTGGCTTAATGAATACAGCGATGTTCATCCAGATATGTCCATTTGGATTCGTGATCATTTCTACAGGTTGAAATTTGCAGTTTCTTTTATTTTTACAGAATTCTTGCTGAAAGTTTATAGTTTAAATTCATTGTGTCTCTTGTTATAGCTAGAGACTAAAAAGTTACTTATAAAATAGCATTTAATAAAATCAGTAAAAATTTCAGATGCTTAGATTGGATTTTGACGAAAGGAACCATTGAAATAAGCGTAAGTAAAATTGTTATAGTGAAAAATGCATTGAGTCATTTAACAGATGTGACAACATGCGATGAATTTTTGGTAGCATTGTATCGTGGATTAGCTCCGAACATTAATTCAAAATTTCGAAATCAATTTGCTATTGAGGTTCATAAATTTGTATTGGTTTTTGCATTTTAACATTAATATAAAACACAGAATTTTTGATGTTTAAAATTATACTTTTATCTTTATAATAAATTCAATTAGTAAATTGATATGAAGCATAGAAACATGTATAATTTATTCATCAGCTTCTTAGGTTGTGTTCAATGAAGTAAACTTGCCGGATAAGCAAAATCCCGGAAATGTTTACTACGATAAACGAACAAAATCATTGTTAGCTTATACAGATGAAATGAATATGACAAATAACAGTGATCAATTATTAAATATGGATCGTCCCTATATTTTAACTGCTAATGCTCAAGCTAATCGTGATATTGTAAGTGAATATTTTTATTCAACAAAATTTAAGTTATAAAAATTTAAAAAACAAAAAATCTTCCAAATCTCAAATTGCTTAATTGTTTACATTTATCTATAACATATGACAAAATGTTTAGATTATGATTACTAAAAATTTTGAATTTGAAGATTTCATCATGGCTAAATAATCGTAACAGACAATCTTTTATAATATACGGTCCAGATGGTAGTGGAAAAGAATGTTTGTTACGATACTGTTTGGCATTGGATCCAAATAGTCAATTAATGGTACTTCATTGTAGTGCTCAAACAGGGTAGGTGAATTTCTCTCATTTATTCATATTTTTTTATGATTTATTTTCATCTATTCTTTTTTTTTTTTTGAAACAATTTCATAATTTATAAAGTATGAAAAAAAGAGGAAGAAAAGAACAAAAAAAAAAACATTTACAGAAAATAATTTGCTTATTTTATAATATCAAATGGGAATTTTTTTAAAATTTGAAATGGAATTTTATAAATATTTTTTTTTCTTTTTTTCATATATTTAACAAATTTCAGATCTCAACAAGTACTCGATTTATTACAGCAGTACTGTGTACAAATTAGCAGTGCATCTGGAAGAGTGCTTAAACCTAAAGAGAAGCAAAATTTGGTCTTTTATATAAAATCAATTAATGTTGTAAAGCCGGACAAATGGGGTACTTGTGAAATAATCGCTTTTCTACAACAACTTCTCACATATAAAGGATATTATAATGAAAAATTAGAGTGGATTTCTTTGGAAAATATTCAAGTATGTTTCCAAAAAAAAGTTGTATTATTGAAAAAGAAAAAAAAAAGCAAGAAAAAGTTTGTGCTTTTCTTGAAATTTTGTTTTGGACAACTTTAAATAGATTTGTTAATTATTTAAATTAGTTTATTAAATATTTTAAAATAAAGAAAAAATCTCTTTATATAGCTAAATGCTTTTCTAATGATTGTGTATGATCTTACAATGGTTATCCATAGTTATAGAATGAAAACTATAAATTGACAAAATTAAAATCCATGTGATTCATATTAATTTTAATAAGTCACTTATCAAGTTCAATTGTTAATATTAAAATGGTACTCCTAATTACTGAAATGACAAAAGAATATTTAATTAATCATTAACACTGCAATTTATCTGTCATTGTTTTAAATTGGAACTTGAAATGAAGGCTTATTTAATCGAAGTGTTATTTTCAGTTAGTATTATCGATAACGCTGGCTAATGACGAAGGTCATTGTCTCCTACCATCACGTTTCATTTCTTTACTTAGAATCTGTAGAATTGAATATCCAACAAAGGAAGAGCTTATAACCATCTATTCTTCATATCTAACATTTTTGTTAAAAGTAAACTTTATTAAGTATCATTATTTTTTCTTGTCTTTCATCTTTTTTTTTTCAATTAATTACATTGCAAGCAAAGGATTGCAGTTATGATGATTTTTTTTTTCTTTTTTTATGAAGTAAATAATAATCGAAAGATAATTGATTTCACATAATTTTATATCAAATTTTTCTCATTGAAAATATTTCAGGATTCAGCTGAACCATTAAGGTATCGATTAAATGATTTAGCAAGTATTATGGTGAATTTGTTTAATGGCATACGAAATTCATTCAAGTCAACCGATAAAACACATTATGTGTTCACGCTAAAAGATTTATCAAATTGGGTATTTTCTCTTACAAGATACGATATTACTGGTAATTTTTCACATTTTGTTTCACACTGATAATGTGAATATGATAATATGAAGGCCAGTAAATGAAATGAGGTCTAATTGAAGTAGATTAGAGCGCCGAATAGTTGTTGCTTTGTAGAGAAGACGATGTTTGATCAATTTTTATTTTATTGAGATAAAAATTATCGTTGATTGCAATTGCTAAACAATATTAGAAAGTGTGAGGAATTAGTTTTATTCAGAGAACTTAACCTCAATAAAGATTATAACTCTTATGTAGTAAGCATTAACTCATAACAGTGATTTTATAATACCGCAAAGAAGGTCAAAAGAGCTAAACGAAGTGCTATTAACCTTGTCAATTTCTAATATAATTTACAATTAGTAAGGAAGCAACAAACAATAAAAGAGGTCAACTAAATAAAAGGAACTGATAATTGTAAACAATCTAATTAGGGACAAATTCCAATGCATTTTCGTTGCTAACAAACAATGCAGATAAACTTGTATGGGAAATGAGTATTAAATTAATAATTTTAATGGATAATTTTTAGTCCGATGGGATTTCGTATGATTTTATTTCTTTTTTTTTTGGTATTTAGTGTAATTTTATTATTTATTGTAATTTTATTATTTATTATAATTCGCTTTTTCTGTTATAATCTGCTTGTTTTTTGCATTTTGTTATATAAATAGTATAAGTTTATTATATATAGGGGTTATTATTTTATATTAAGTGGAAAAGATTTCAACTTCTGGAAATTCTCATATTCTAGCAAGTAGTTGGGTAAAATCTTGTTGTTAAACAAGAATTAACTGTTATTTGGTAATTTAATCATCAATAACGATTCTTTTGCATTATTGTTGACAGTAAGTGTCATTATAACTAATAGAATTAGTTTTTCCTATAATTATAAATGCTACAAAAAATATTAGATGACAGTATCCAGATGAAATATGAAAATTTAACGCTATTAGCCGGTATCATTGTTTTTGGATCTTTCAGCTTCTTTATTTTTTATTTTATCTAATTGCTCACTGCATGTGATAATCTTTGTTTTTTTGAAAATGATAAAATAGTGATCACATAATCATTATAAAATAATGATTACATAATCATGAAAAGTAAACAAATATAAATTATCTTTGTATAATCAGGTACTAATGCTGGTGAAAAATTTTTGTGCTCAATGTTATATGAATGTCGACGAATTTTCAAAGATCGTTTGGTGAATGATGAACATAAACAAAGGTAAATACTTTTTTTTATTGAGGAAATACAAAATAATCAGATAATATTACTTCAAATAGTTAGGTGAGTAGTACAATAGGTATTTCTCAGTAAGAAATATTATGAAGGTAATCTATATGGGAGAGAATATTTATATGAAAGTTTTGTTGTATCTTTGTCATTTTTGCAAATTATTTTCAGTTTGCATGTTATTAAGGTTAGAGTAAAGTTTTTATGTTATTGAAGTATAATTAATGTTGAATGAAAAATGTTTGACAGTAAATCTATGTTAATTTTATAGATTCGAAGATATTATTAGGAATAGTTTATCGTCAGCTGCAGTACACAGTGATGAAGGTGAAATTTATCTTTAATTTTTCGAATTCTTGAAATTATTTGAGAATTAGTCTTTGGTTTTGGTAGTTAGCTTCTTTTTTTTTTATTTTGAAAGTATAATTTTTTATATTTTTAAAGTACAATTACTTCTTTATTTGTGCAATAAACTATACAAATAATAAACAAATTATACGAAATGCTCAAACATGGTTTATCGATTCATAGATTTAAAACCATTTTTCAATTCATTATCGATAATAGAGAGAAGAATTTATTTTTTAGATAACTTATACGTATCAGCTCAAGGAGCTCTCGCAATAACCATGTTGAAAGGTACACCATTATCGATGGTATCACGTAAAGAGTACGCTAAACTTTTACAACAAGCAGTTAATCGATACGGTATATTTCATATTATCATATATGTTCTCATCTTACCACATTTGTTGAAAATCATTATGCGCTACTGATGACTGATAGCTACAGTATTTTACTGAAATTACAAGTTATACTAATTATTTAAAACAGCTTGTTAAGTATTACTTATATTTTCAGTCCTTAATTGTGTTGATTTTCAGAATTCGAAATTGCAAATTTTAAAATGCCAATTTTTGATGAATTTGTCAAATTATGCTCTCAAATTGATCGAGTAATCACAACACCCGATATGTTTCATTTTCATTCTTCAATTTCTTTGCATAACCAAAGCTTGAATTTAAACGTTTTTTTTTTTTCAGAAAAAAATTTCATATAAATTATAAATTCATTTTTTTTTTTGACGATAAGATAGTGCATCCAATTGTTAACTGATTTTCTGAATTTTCAGGTGGTTCATTATTGTTAGCTGGAAGAGCTGGCATGGGAAGACGTGAAGCTGCATCGCTTGTTGCAAATATGCATCAAATGCCTGTGTTCTCGCCAAAGTTGACATCATCTTATGGAATCAAACAGTTTAGAAATGATTTGAAAACGGTATGTAATTTCAGTTCATGCGAAATAAACATACTTTATTCTGTCTCGTCCTATCTTTAATCGATTGATACCTGATTTGAGCGATTATCACATTCATAATCTAAATTACCTTTAGGAATTTCAAACATTTTGCAGGTTATCCAGGATGTAGCAATAAATGGAAAACATATTGTTTACATTATTGAAGATTATCAGCTATTGCATGATGCATTTCTGCAATCAATAAATTCATTATTATCATCTGGTGATATTCCTGGAATATTTACTACTCAGGAATTTGATAGCCTTTTGGGAAGCTTACGTGAACAAGCTTCGCAAGATGCATTCCAGGGTGACTTGTATTCTTATTTTGTTATGAGTAAGTTTTCCTGTTTTTCTTTTCTTTCTTATTATTATCCTTTATTTTTACTTACTTATTTTTTTTGCTAAATTTTAGATTTTTGAGGGACAGCGATGTATTATTATCGACGAAAATTTAGTGAATAAGAAATAAAAATAATTTTATTGATTGTCAACAGCGTATGCAGGTGTAATAACACGTACTTCATCTTGAAATTATTCTTTCAGACGTTAAAATCAATTAGTTCAAGTCAAAAAAAAGTTTCTTGAAGTGATTATTATCGTTAATAGGTAGTGTATTTAAGAATCTTTTTTTTTTTAGAAGTAAAAGCAAACTTGCATATTATTCTTATTTTAAATGTTGATGACACTAATTTTTCACTAAAATGCTCATCAAATCCATCGTTATATAAAGAATGTTCGATCATTTGGAATGAAACATGGAATAAAAATGCTTTGTCACAGGTTATTTATAATTAAAGTTTCTTAAAACATATAAATTCAAAGATTTTGGCCAAAATTTTGGTAAAATTTTGAGTGCCAACATTCATAAATGATTTTTTAATGAATTACGTTTGGTTTATCATAAACAATTAGTTTGGAAAGATATTTTTATCTTATTGAATACTTAATTAAACTTATTAATTAATTACCAACAACTGACTACCAGAAAACTTTCTAGGAATTTTCTGAAAAAAAAATCAAAAAATTTAATTGGACTGCTGATTATCAATTGTTCCAGTTATCGGAATTAATTTTATCACGGCACAACATCAAAGCATCAAATGACATACTAATTGCTTTTGGACAAATTTATTATCAGTGTCCATCGGAAATAGCACCACCAGCAAAATATATTCGATTTATCGAAAACTATGCTTGTATTTTGAATAAAAAACGAACTGCTATTGAAACACGATCTAAAAGACTAAAGGTTTTGAATTCTTGTAATTTTAAGACTAAACGAAATCAAAATGTAATAATATTGGTTTGGAATTATATCTTATTTTTAAATTTTGTACAAAAAGTAAACTAAACAAAATTGCATTTCTTTTCTACACTACCGTATAAGAATAACAGTAATACGGTAGTATTACTACTATTATTATTTTTTTTCCAGGCCGGAATCGGTAAATTAACGGAAGCTCGAGAGTCTGTTTCCAATATGCAAAAAAAAGCTGCTAAAAAAAGTAAATTATTGGCTGAAAAACAAAGTGATGCAGATATGGCACTGAAAGCAATATCACAAAGCATGACGGTTTATTTAGAATTTGTTTAGAACATTCAGTTCTGTATAAAATAAATAACTCAATTTTGTTTTTTATAATTTTTAAAATCTTATTTTTAATAAAGTTAGTTCAAAAATTTTTAACAAATTTAGTCCAATATTGCTTAAGTCTCCTAAAGTTTTGTTTTGTTTTGTTTTATTTTTCATTTCGGGTGCTTTTACTAAATTTAATATTTTTAAGAATGCAAATTATCAACGATCTGATATGGAGCAGCTTAAATTGGCTACAGCGAAAGAAAATGAAAGGATTGAGAAACAGAAAAGTTTAATTGATGAACAATTACGTGAGGTACTCATTTTTTTTGCAGAAGAAAAACTGCTTTATCTTTAGTTTTGACTGAGAAAATTTATTTTGCTCAGCTAAATAAATTAATAACAGGTAATGAAGTATATCAAGAATAGGTTGCGTTTTTCAGGTGGAACCTATATTACGTGAAGCACGTGAAGCAGTTGGTTCTATTAAATCGGAAAGCTTATCTGAAATCCGAAGTTTACGAGCTCCACCGGAAGCAATCCGAGATATTTTACAAGCTGTATTATTATTTATGGGCATTTTTGACACATCCTGGGAAGCTATGAGAAAGTAAATAATTCGTTTTTCTTTATTTTTTAAACTAAAATTGCTTAAATTACTTTTTATTGATTGTTTGAGTCGCTTTTAATTGGACATTTCTCAACATTTCTCAAGTTTTGTCAATTAATTCCACCTTAATTATAGGTTTTTGGCCAGAAATGGAGTGAAAGATGAAATAATTAATTTTGATGCTCGAAGAATTTCAACTGATGTCAACAAAAGAGTTACCGCTCTTATGAAAAGCAAGCAATCATCATTTGATCCAAAGGTTGGTTATTGTTGACATTTTAGTAATTTTCTTTTTTTTTTTACAATATGATAGGTTAAACAATATGTTAGTTAAAGTAAGATTTGGCTAATTCATTAAAACTATCCTTAACTTTGTAAATTAAGTTTAATTATATATTGTAGTTCAAAATTCAAAAAATTTGTCTTATTCATTTTTTACTTGTAGCAATGAGTATATATTAAACAAAAATGGGAAATTTTTGTTCTTGTATGCTATGAAAATTTTTTGTGGAATTTTTTTTCTTTTCTCTCTTGTCGTGAAAGGTTTGTCCGGTTGATATTTGTTTAATTGCAATACATTAGGAAGATTAAAAAACCTTTATTTTTCAATAAACTGAGCAATAAAAAAGAGAATTCATAATAAAAGAGAAGAAAGGAATAGTTGACAATAATGACAATGAATCCTTTTGTTTATTAGAATTGAATTTATATGAGTGAGGATTGGGTGTGTCTAAGATAAAAATCACATGTGTGAAGAATTTGAAGTGTTTACAAAGAGATTAAAATGAAAGCTAATTTCAGTTTTACATAAAATTACATGAGTAATAAATCCTAAGAAGCTAAATTTATGAAGAGATGATTTTTGAAACCGTAAGATTGTTTACAATTTAAAAAGGAGAGATGATTTATGATATTATGAAATTGGTTAGAAGTTTTCGCGACATCTCTAAACAAATTAAACAAGTTTAAAAAATTATTCATTCTTCTTTATAACATTAACATTAATAGTAAGATGGATGTGTAAAAAAATTCCAAAAAAACAAATTAATTATTCAAGCTATTTGAGTTGATAAATTAAATGAAACTTTTATTCATTTTTGGTTTTGATGAAAAATGCTATGTAAAGGTTATTTATTTTATTATAAGCTAATTGTGATTGTTGTTTTATTTATTATCATTCTGATGATTATTATTCATAGAATGCAAAACGTGCATCAGCAGCAGCTGCACCATTAGCTGCATGGGTTCGAGCAAATTTAGATTATTCGACAATTTTGGAACGTGTTACTCCATTGCAAAAAGAGAAAAATGATTTGATTAAGTAAGTTAGCATTTTTTTTTTTTTTTTTTTTAAGGTACAATCATTCAGGAAATGCATTTGCATGAAGTATAAATTTGATTAGTGATTTAATGTTATAACTAATAATTTTTTTAAAAAAAAGAAATTACTAATAATCTAACAAGAAATACGTGAAAAAAAAAGTGAAACTGTTGGTATGGAACGAATTTCTTTGATTTTTGATGATTTTTTGACTTTTGATAATTTTTGATTTAATAATAAATTGTGGAAAATATTTGGCATTTTTTTTTATTGAAGAGGAATTGGAATGAAATGAATTTGAAAGCTTATAAAATAACTGTAGGAATTTAAATGAAGCCGAGAAGCAAATGGAAAAATTATCGAAAGGTTTAGAAACAGTCGATGAACGAGTTGCTGAATTGAAGCACAATTTCGAAATGCATATGAAGGAAGCAACACAAATAAAAATTGATTTAGATAAACAGCAAGTAAGCTTGTCTGATTTTTTTTTTTTTTTTTTTGAAAAGCCATTTATAGACAAACAAATGAGATGCAGTGAACTAAGAAATAAAACTAATTTAGCAGGAACTATCAAGATTTTGGTTTTGGGTTTGGCGGCGAATGTTAAATCATCATTATAAGCCGCATTTCACTGAATATTTGCGCTTTTTCATTATTTTTAAATTTGGAATTGCAGGAAACGATTAATGTTGCTGGTACTCTTATAGATCGACTTAGTGGCGAATATGAGAGATGGCAAGAGCAAATTGGCAATTTACAAAATGAACTTGATTGTGTAATTCTTTTTCTTGACTTTTTTTTTCTTTTAAAGGTTCACTTTTAAATCTAATTGACATTTTTTTTTTTTTTTTAAATCTAATTGAATCTAAGAGACTGGTTTTGTATTTTGTGCTCGAAGTTTGGAAAACAACTTTTGCTTTTCTTTGCAGCTGGAAAAAGGTTCTCTTTTATCTGCTGCTTTTGTAACATTTCTCGGTTCAGAATCAGAGCAAGTTCGAAATGAAATTTTGAACAAATGGAAGGGACTTCTCAATTTGAATGATTTCAGTACACTTGAATTTTGTGTTATGGAAACCGAGAAGGTATGTTATTTATTGGTGAAATTTTAAGTTGCATTTTTCTCGACATAACTCTCATTCAAAAAAAGCAACATTAGTTGTTAATACTTAGTTTATTTAAATGAGATGCAATTTCAATGGAAAAAAAGAAAAGCGCAAAATGATGATTTAGTATACAAGAATTGTCTCTACATTAATATTTTGTTAGTATTTGTTTCACTATTGTAATTCATTTTATTTTATTTTCCATTGTTTGTTTTAGTTGAACTGGAGTAACAAAGGACTTCCAACTGATGCACTTTCACAGGAGAATGCTATGATCTTATTTAATACTACGGAAATACCACTAATCATCGATCCTAGCGGACGTGCATCCTCATTTCTTATGAAACATTTGAAAGATAAACAAGTGGAAAAAGTAAATGCAAATGATCCTAACTTCCTTATTCAGGTAGTATACATTTTGTTTATTGACAAATCAAAAACGAAAAAAATGAAAAAAGAAGTTGGATGTTAGTTAATTGTTAAGGAAATAATATTGTCTCTTGAAATAAATTTCTTAATCTGACAAGTGTATTTATTTTTATCTTTATAATATTAGTTTAGGTTGAACTTGCTGTTCGTTTTGGCAAATTGTTGCTTATCGATGATGTAAATAAAATTGAACCTACTCTCATGAATATTCTTCGAAAAGATTTTTCAAGTCAAGGTTCAGTTTTGTTACAAATTTTTAAACGTAGTGAAAAAGACAAATGAAGCTTGTTGAAAAAAATATATGAGATGAAGTTTTTAGAAATCTTCGGATATTTGAAGTATTAGTAGCTAAAATTTTTTTTTTCTTAGTAAAGTTTTTTTTTTACAGCAAAGATCTACTAAGATTACTTACTTCCACAATAAAAATGTGTTTTGAGAAAGTTAGATGATAGTAGATAATGGAGTAATACACCTTCGTTAATTAAGCTTCAGGTGGTAAAAATCTGAAATGAAAAAAATTAAAATTAAAATTTTCCACGCAGTCAAGAACAGAATTTTTTCTTTGTTTTTAGGACCACGACGTATTGTTCAAATTGGTGAAAAAGCTGTTGATTATAATGATAATTTTCGATTGTATATCTGTTCTAAGAATAATTTATTGCAATTGGATCAAGCATCTAAGGCAGCTGTTACTTTAATATGTTTCAGTATCACACAAACTGGTCTTGCATCTCAGGTTTATGTTTAACTCTTTTTTTTTTGAAAAAATATCAATTTATTTTTTGTGAAAAAAATAAATTCAAATACTTCATTATCATCTGAAAGTTAGTCATCCTAATGAAATTTGATTCTATTTGTACAACTATTCTGTGATTCTTTTATATATGTTAGCTAATTCACTTAGATGCTCGGATTGGCAATACAAATTGAAAAACCGGCTTTGGAAACACGTTTGAATGAATTGACTGGTGATGTGGAACAAATGAAAATTAAACTTGATGACATTGAACAGTCACTTTTGCAAGTAAATTATTAAAAATTATTGAACAAAATTAGTAAAAACAAATTAAAAATTCATATGTAATTAATTTATTTGGTTGCTTTTTCTCTGAATACACATATGGATGGCTATTTTCATTATAATTTTTGCATTGGAAAAGTAGCCTTTATCGTAGATCATGATACTGTGAACAGTTAATTATATTTCTAAAATAATATTTATAACATTAATCTGTCATATAATAGTTCAAATACCACATTAGTTTACCTTTAATCATTGCGTCATAGCATTTGATTTCGTTTTATTTTGCAAACATATTTTTAAAAAAGAAATTTTTTTTCTTTGGATTTGACTATTATATTTAAGACATTGGCTTCATCCGAAGGAAGTTTATTGGATAATACGGATTTATTGGATTCTTTAAATAAAAGCAAAGAAAATGCTGAAACGATTGCAGCATCACTAGCTGAAGCTGATAAATTGCAAAAACAATTTGTTAAAGTTTGTCGCATTTGTTGCATTTCTTTCAAAAATAAGAATTATTCTAATTTCAGTTCTTAATTAATTGAAATCTGTAATGTTTATTGGAGTATTATTCTTTTTCTTTCAGGAAAAAGACATATATCGACCGTTAGCAGAAGCTACAAGTAATTTATATTTTATTATTCAGGATTTACACAAACAAGATCCTATGTATAACTTCAACCTTAATACTGTAATAAACCTATACAATCGTACATTCAGCAAAATTAAAGTAAGTTTTTGCTGTAGAAAAAATGAACAAAAAAAAAAAAATTTATTGGAATTTTTTAAACCAATAAAATGATTAACTGATAAGAATCAATAGTAGATAATATGAACTGATTACCAGATGCACTGAAGTAAAATGATTGGACACAATGAACTTATCCAGATGCATAAAACTACAACTGCTTTATCAATTATATCAACTCATATTTGTTAGATTATAAATCAATGAAATTTTGATTCTGTTTCTTTTAAATTCATTATTATGCATTTCAAAATCTAATAATAAAAATTTAGTAAATTGAAAACATAAAAATTCCTAAATTTTACATTGATGTTAAGTTGACATTTTAGGAAAGTACAGTGGGACGAATGGAAAAATTACGACGATTACTGCAACACACAGTTTATGAATATGTATCACGCGCACTTTTCAAAAAAGATCGTTTAATGTTTTCAATGCGATTTATTCATGGAATACAACCATCTCTTTTTGCACAAAATGTTAATATTTCATTTTAATATGAATTTAATTTTGTTTAATGATATATTGCATTGATAATTGATATTACTAATTGATATTGTATTGATAACTCTTTCAAAAATTCATCATCATATCAGTTGTTTAGCAGTTAATGAGGTCAAACTAAGATTTTTCTTTTTCAGGAATGGGAATTATTTACCGGTTTAATTGTTGATGATACCACCACTTATTCCGTAGAAGAGATTGGCTGGATCAGTAGTGAACGAAAAGCAAATGTTGCTAAATTGCAGGTTGATTTAAAGTAACTTTTTTAGAAGTTTGAATTACTATAATGAAGATTATGTCAAATACATAAATTTATAATTATTAAATGAGTTAAAAATTTTTCTAATAGAATTATGAATTTTGAAATTTTAGAAAATTTTGCAGAAATATTTGCCGACATTATTTAACAATCTTCGCTTTACGGATCAAGCATTGTGGAGTGAATTTGCTCGCACGATAAACTGCGAAACAGCATTTCCACCTGCTATCGATGCAGTTTTAACACCATTTCAGAAATTACTTGTTATTCAGGCTATTCGACCAGAGAGACTTTATTCAACTATGATTAGCTTTGTTACTAATATATTAGGTCTGGTATTAATCCATTTGTATGCTAATTATCTGGATTTAGCATTGCCAAAATTTTTTAGCTGGAATTTCAGGAATTCCATCAATCAATCCATCACCACTAGATCTGAAGTCGATCTATAAGTCAGAAAGCAATGAAAATGAGCCGATCATGATATTGATTAGTCCCGGTGCAGATCCTTCACAAGTATTCTTGATATATTCTAAATTTTTGTCTTAAAAATACAGCGAAAAAAAAGTTGCAACGCTATTAGTTAAATTTCAACCATTTTTGTGGCCGGAAATTGAAATCTATTTTACTGTTGTCTTGCACTATATTGTGGTATCAAATTCAGAAATTTTTACTAAGCTAGTATGTAATCAATCATCGAGCTAAATTTCTGTGATACAATGATTTCAATATTTTTTACGGCTGAACTTTGAATTTTAAAGTAAAGTCAAAATAAATTAATATGTTAGAATTTTCTATACTCTTTGTGTAATTTTAGTACTTCATAATGAATTTCAAATTCGAGTCATAGCAACTTATTTTTTTTTTTGTTAAATGGTAATAAATTTACGCTGAAGAAGTTACTGTTTGAAGGAACTGGAAGAATTAGCTCGAAAACAAATATCAAGTGCGAAATTCTATCAAATTTCGATGGGTCAAGGACAACGACAAGCTGCTCTTGAAGCAATTCGAACATGTGCGGCAAATGGTGGTTGGGTATGCTTGAAAAATTTGCATCTTGCCATCAATGATTTAGCGGCAATCGAAAAGGTATCAAATAAAATTTATAATTTTATAAATTTGTAACAACTGAAAAAATTTTAACCTATTAGCATATTATGTTTTTTTTTTTTCCCTTTTTACTTTCACCAAATTTCAAAAATTAATTTGTTTTTTCATCCTCAAGAAAAACAAGAAAAAAATAAATTGTTACAATAATTTAATTTCAGGAATTTTTAGCATCAAAACATGATCCTAATTTTCGTCTATGGTTAACATCTGAATCAAATGAACATTTTTCACCGCAGCTACTGCAAACTTCATTGAAAATTGTTTACGAAGCACCACCTGGAATTAAGAATAATATGAAAAGGATTTATGCTCAATGGCAACAATCTGAGCTCAATTTTAGTGCTTTTTGTTTGCAAAGTTTATTTATGTTAGCTTGGTTACATGCACTTCTACAGGAGCGACGAATGTTCATACCTGAGGTATGGTTTTCCATCGGAATTCGTGAAGTTTTGTTAAAATTGTAATAAAAATGAAGAACTTTTTCTCTTTTTTTTCTTTTATTCCAAAAAAAAATGATTGAAGGAGTGCTTCATCTGTTAGATAGTTAGAAAATGTCTGCTTTTTTTCAATTTTGTTAAGCCATTAAATAATGTTTGTAACAGATGTAATTAAGTTGTAAATAGCTAATTTTTTTTTGGCTAAATTTAAACTAAATTTATTGCAATTTTTATCTGCACAGTATCAAAAAATATAGAATGATGAATTATTATTTATTTTCCAAGTTTATAATTAAGATTTCTTGCATTAAGAACTGATTGTATGTTAGTTACTAGATTCATTAAAGATGGGTGAGAATGAATTTCTATTTAAATTTTATTTCAATCATATTATGACAGCAAAACAACAGACAGCATGTTGATCAGCGGTTAACTTCCATAAACGAAATAACGATTTCAGGCTTGGTCGAAATTTTATGAATTTAGTAACAGCGATCTACGAGTAGCCAAGAAGTTTGTTGAAGAAGTTACAAAAGATGACAAAGGTGTAAAATTTTTTTTTTTTTTTGATTCGAATTTTTTGAACGATTTGGTAATGCTTGAAAATATATGTGACTTTAATCTTCATTAGAGTTAGCCTATTTTCTAAAGAGTAACACTAATAACACCTATCAAAACCTTTAGCAAAATCATTAAGTAATGAGGTAATTATTCAGTTTATTTGGTTGTAGTCAAGTATTTGAAATGATTTTTTTCTCAATAGATTTATTGATTGATTTTATGATTTGCTTTATGGAAGTCACTATATTTTGTTACTTTCTAGTTTTTTTCGGAAGAAATCATAGTAACATATCAAATCATCGAATAATTATGATTTTAAATCAATTATTTTTCCTACATTTCAAAATAAAATTTACCTTTTCAGCTGCTAATTGGCAATTATTACGTGGTCTTATACAAACAGTTGCATATGGTGGACGTATTGACAATGATTTTGATATGAATGTTTTAGTTGTTTATTTGAAACGCTATTTCAATTCATCCATTATTGGCATGAATGCTTCTGAAATTGCTCATAACATTACTGTCCCATTTTCAACCAATATTATGGTATATTTTTCAGTATATTACATCTATGGTAGAGTGATTTTTTAAATATTTCTCCATAACTTTCGAAATTGTTCTTTTTTCACTTTTAGTTAATAGAATTTACAATAAGGAGCCAAAAAAAAGGAATTTATTATGGCTTAATTAACAGGATTATATTAACATCATTAATACAAATATACCTGAGGAAGACAATCCGGCATTATTTGGTTTATCCTCAAATATAAGTACTGCGCGTGAAATGGCGGAAATGAATAAAACAATTCTGCAAATACGTAGCATGCAAATTTCTGTGGCTACCGAAGTTACATTTGACAGGTGTTATTTCTTGTTTTAATAGCAATGCTCAACCAATTGTTTATAACAAACATATTGGTCAAGCGAGAAAAAAAAAACATGTTACTTTTTTTTTTGAATGATTTCGAAAAATGTTTGTTAAATGATTTGTCAACAATTCTGATCACTTTAAATGGCATTCATGAATACATAATGAATGTAATTTAAACGATCAAATGAGCTAGCAATTATCGGATGTAAGATGAAAATTGCATGGATATAATACATAGTGTTATGACAATTTTGAGCAAATTAGCAATGCAAATTAATGATATGAAATGAATTAAAATAAAGTAAAAGTTTTTCAGGAATGTATGGAATAAAGCTTTGAATCCAATTATAACACTTTGGAAGCAGCTCAATTCTCAATCAACATTACATTCCATGAATGTACCATTGATACAACATACTGATGATCTCATTCTCGAAATTATTTCTCTGGAATATGTTCATGCAATAACATTGGTACACATTATATGTAATAATTTTTGATATATTGAAAAAAGAAAAATAAACTTGAATTTTAATAATATGCAATGAAATTGAAATGTAAAAATTTTCAGGTTCAAAAAGTGCATAAATACCTTGGTGCAATAAGTAAATGTTTACGTGGCATACAATTATTCACATCAGAAATTGCTAATGGTGCACGAGCATTAATGATGCATCAAGTTTACTTTTCGTCTTTATAAAAAAAAAAAAAAGAGTTTTATTTATTATTGATGTATTCGTCAATAAAATCTTCCTTAGGACACTTTTCATTTTGTTTACATTTATTTATAGACACCAGAAGAGTGGCAAGAAGCATGGAGAGGTCCATCGGATCCAGCTCAATATTTATCACTTTTAATACATAAAGCTAAATCAATCGAACAATTATCACATATCAATGATAGCTATAAAATATTAGCTAATCCAATCAAACTTGGCAATATTTTTCGACCTACTGCATTCTTTAATGCTTTACGGCAATTAACTGCAAGGTTGTGCTAAATAATTATTTTTAAACTGAATTTAATTTTGAATTCGAAATTTTTACTTCTTAATACGACAGTTTCAAATTTATTCTTCCTACTTGTGATTTAACAAAGTATACTTAGTTTCAGGAAAAAACATGTATCTATGGATGAATTAAAATTAGGTACTGCATGGAATGGTGCATTTCTGAAGAATGAAAATGTAATGGAAATATCCGGAATTCACATTCAGGGAGCTTTATTTGAAGAGCATATCGTTGAAATAAAACAGACATCACCAACTGTTGCAACAACTCCAAATCTTTACATTGCTTGGATATCTGCGGTAAGTATAAAGCGATGCAAAAGCAACATTCAAATGAGTGAAAATGAAGGAACAAGTTTTTTTTTCTTTTTTTCTGGAAATGTAGATTTGAAAAATATTTTCAGGATGCTCCGGATGTGTATGAAAAAGATAAATCAATATTTGTACCACTTTATGCAACACCTGAACGAAATCAGTTAATTGCTAAAGTTCAAATGCCATGTACTAAAAATCCGGACAAATGGATTATTGCTTCAGTTGCATTATTTTTATCAAATCAATAGTAAATTTGATTGTAATAAAATTTAATTTCATTTTTCTTTCTGTAGAAAATCTCATATTTGAAAAATAATGTTTTATAAAAGAGAAAATAAGCAGATTTGTAAAGATTTATTGTAGTATCTGTTTATGGATTTAAATATAATGATAATAAATAATTTATTCAGTGAAAAAATTTTTTGTAATTAAGAATGTTTTATATACAGAGCAAACATAAAGGCAATTTTGGTCAGTGATCAACTTCAACAGTTCAAAGATCCTAATTTTGGTCCTTTCAATAAACAGACACAGCATGACACACTTTTTTTTGTTTTTTATTTTGTTTTGTTTTATTCTTTTCTGTCTTAGCAATCGCTAAAAACATGCTCAAATAACTGTCGCTCCACACATTGCTGAAATTTTACCATTTTCATCAAATATTTCATAAATTGAATTATATTGTTTGAAAAAAGATAGGAAATAAGATAAACATGTGTTTAATATGTGAAAATAAATAAATATTAGATTACAATTAATTAAAATGATACATAGAATTGATGATCATTCTGGAACTATGGCTAATCAATAATTGCTAAATGAAATAATGATATATTATCAATAATTGACATTAAGAAACAATGAAATTATATTGAAATTCTCAGCATCATACTGATCAATTATTATATTTTTGACACTGTTCCAGAAGCATCAAATGAATATATATTTTAAAATATAGAGCTTAAATTGTTTACAACAATATAATCAAAAAATGAATGAATGCATATGTATATGTATGTATATAGCTATTATGATAACTGTATTAAGTTAGAAAAAGACTGTGATATGTTAAAATTATCAAATAAATCTCTGATAATTTTTAAATATGAATGAGAAAATAAAAAAAATGAAATGTGATAAGTTTGAAAAAAAAAAAAAGGAAAAAACAAAAATTTGGTTAAATGTTTGAATACATTGCTATGTGAAATCAATTTTATATGAATTGGAGAAGAATATATTATATCATTTAATGCTTAATGATTTGTGAATTATTCATCAGAGATTTTCATTTTAATTATTTCAACAAAAACGAGAAAAAAAAGTTATCGTTGAAAAAATGAGTGAAAATATGTTATTATTAGTGATTATAAAAAAAAAAAGGTACAATCATTTATTCGATCAATTTTAATCTAAATGAATGTTGATACAATTTAAATTACACTATTTAAATTAACTATAAATTAAAGTAAACAATTTTAACATAACTTTTCATCAATTATTACAAGTTACAATAATTTTTTTAATTTTTTGAAATAAAAAAAAAATAATGCCTTTAATCATTAATAATGGTTGGACGAATAAATATGAATGAGAAAAGAATCGAATACAAAGTAATAAATAATGTGTAATAGATGAATTTTAGCGATTTCCACGAAGAAGTTCGTAAGTCTCTGCTCCAAGTGCTTTTCGAAAGTGATCTTCTACTGAAAAAGGAAAAAGGAATTTAATTATTGAAATTTCATATAGATATATTTTATTACTCAAAATTCGTTACTTATACTTGATTATTTCATCAGAAAAAAAAAGTTAGCTGAAAGTCATAACAGAGTTTTAAAAAAATAATAGAAAGATAATAAGTGATAAAATATTTAAGCTCTCTTTAACAATCCTTTACTGGTTTATCAACCTTGATCAGTGATAGTAGGTGGAATAATATCAGTCAATTTCATTGCAATAATAATAATATTTAACTTTTTCTTACCATTAAATTATATTAAATATCTATATTGAAGATATTCCATAATCCAATTTTTAATTTTAAAATGCACGTTCCATGCATTTTATGAAAAACAAAAAAGATAAATTATAAGAAATAAAAAAAAATAAAATAATTTCTTTTTTCAAATAGTAAAAAGCATTTGTTGTTTATTTCTCTGTTAAAAGAATTATGACATTTGTTTAGAGTAATCAAATGATATTGCATATAGATAAAATCACTATTTTTTAATTGCAGTAACAAAAATTTTTTTCATTTTACTTTGGTTTTGAAAGAAAAAAAACCTCAATTGCTCACTTTCAATTCCGGAATTATTCACAACAATTTGTTGTGGTGAGCTCACGCTACATGATAGAGTGCTTCGTAAACCGGTTGTTTGATTGCTTTTACGGTGTAGTAGTGATCCTGAAAATTTAGATATATCTAATGTGGCTAATTGTGCACATATTTGTAATTTTTGTTAATGATTAAAATAAATTGTTAAATGGATTACATATGGAGCATAATGTATACAGATTAAATTATCACCGGAAATTTTTTTGTCAACATCAGTTTGAACCGGTGGTGTGTAATGAACATAATTTGTTTGCCGTCTTGGCCATTTACCACTAAGCGATCGCCGGAAATGTTCCGAAACATCTGGTTCAGGAGTGGGTCGTGATGTTACTGAGGAAGCTGATCGACGCATATCAACATTACGTCGTACTAAAAAATACAATAAGAATTTTTAGAAATTACAGCAAAGTTGAAATTTTAACAATAATCATTCATAATTGTTGAATATTTTCAGATTACTAAAAAAATAATAAAATGAAGGTACATTTTAACAAATTAAAAATTTTTCCTGTTTTTTTCAAATTTTGATATTGAAATTTTTTGATATTCCAAATAAATTTATTACTAATGATAATATTTTCATTTCATTCAAGCAAACAAAATGGCTTAAGGATAAAAAATTAGCAAAAAAAACGTCAGAAACTCTTGTTCAATTAATTTTGTTTTAATGTCTCATTTACTTATTTTTTTTTGTTTTTCCCATATGTTAACAAAATATTCGCTTCTGCTAGCTTTTTTTTTTTTCTCATTTTAAACTACGGAAATATTTATGTACATAAAATGTACAAAAGAAAAAAGCTATGCATGAAAAGATTTTTTTTAAAAATCCATTTTTTATATTGAGAAATGAATTTGAAATATTTCGAGAATTCACATTTCTCTGCTAAGTTTTCATTATTTTATAAGTAATCTATAAAAAGTTAGATTATGCAAAAATATGATAATATATTGGCAGTAAATGTTCAATGTTGTTTTGTTATATTGATATGTTATCAAAGTATAGCTATTATTTTTTCATTCGTTAATTTAAAAAAAAAAAAATTTTTTTTTGGATTATTCAGTGAAAGTGTTAAATTGAAGTCGTAATTTCTTTTTCCTTTTCTTTTTCACTTGTTTCTCTTTCTTTTTTGAAAAGAAAACGTTTGAAAAAAAAAAAGCTAACTGAAAGAAAATTTTCATAACTTTTTTTTGTGTTATGTAAAAAATTACTTGATGCCATTTTTTCTTTTTTAAATTGGAAAATCAAAAAATTGGAAAAGAATGCGATCGGCATCATCGACAATACCAATCACCATTATCATCTACCACGATCATCTGATGTTTCAGCAAAATTTTTTTGTTTTTCGTTTTTTCTTTTTTTTTTGTTTCATAAAAGAATATTCCGACATTCCTTCTTACACTTAATACCAGTTGTCATCGATACCAATCAAAGTTTTCATATGCAAAAATATTTTTGTCAACTTGTAAAATCTGAGAGACAAAAAAAAAAAGCAAAAAGAAACAAAGGAAAGTTTCAGTATAAAATATATTTGTAACTTAAAATATTGCAATAATATTCTATTATTCATTTATTGATTGATCCAATTTATCTGATCTTAGCTATGATTGATTCATTTAATCATTTCAATTTCCTTTTAGATGCTTCTTTATCCATTTCATACTATCTTTTATCAATTATCATTTACATAATGATTATAAAAACTATCAGCTATATATTCCAAAAAAATTTTTTTTTCCTTTTTTGACTGAATGAAATTGTGTAATGAAAGTAATGTTTAATATTTTTCACCTTATCTTGCTCTAAATTGTAATTTGGTCAGCATGTGAGAAAATTTTAGTGACCGGAAATGATCTATTATTGCATAATACATCCGGAAACAATTCACAGACCCTGTGGTTTTTATATAAATAATTAAAACAAGCAATGCTTGCATTATAAGGTTAAAAAAAAAAGGACAAAAAAAAAAAATAAATAAATGATTTGGAACGATAGATAATGTTATAATGCCTTTCATTCATTGATATAAGAGGATTTTTTTTTCTCTCTTCTATTAATTAATTACTTTTTTTTTAAAAAAAAAATTACTACGGAGGAGATAATAGGAGAGAAAATGCAAAAGAATGTGATAAGAGGATAATATAACAGTGGGAAAAAAGGGAGAAAGAGGTATGTATGAAGGATAAACTTAATGAAAGAAAATTTTTGTTTAAAAAAAGCGATTATTTGTCTCATGAAACATAATTATTTATAACAGAGGTATTTTTCGATTCTCTAACAAATTTCTTTTTTCGTTATTTTAAAAATTTGAGTGGCAAAAGTTTAGCAAAAAGATGCATTAAAAAATAAAATTTGTCAAAGTATGCGGATGGAAAAAAAAGGAAAAATAAAAATAAGCTATTTCCATAAATTCATCTGTTCACCTATCTATAATAATAATAATAATAATGATAATAAATAATAATAGTGATAATAATAATAACAATATCAATGATAATAATAATTGATAATAGTAACAATTAATAATAATTATAATAACAATAAATACTGGTATATCAAAAATTTTTTCTTCTTTGAATATAAAATAATTTTTTCTTTCTTTTGTTTTTTTTTAAGGATGCAATAAATTCATGAAAAAAAAAAAGTACTTGCAAAAATTTTGCACTAATGGTAATTTGATAATAAAACAAAAATTTTTCCTTTTCGCTACAATATTTGCATCTATCAATTAATTAATTGATTTCATTGAGAAAAAAAAAGCAATTGTTGATGTTAAATTTAGAATTTTAATTCTCATCTTTTTATCCTCTCTTCAATTCTCTCCCTCTCTTTCTAAAAAAGAAAATATACCATAACCATTTCGTATAACGGTTGGCCGAGGTTGTGATTTCAAAATGGATGAGCATGATGGTAAACAG